TAATTAGATCAACCTAAAAGGAACAAAATGAAATTTTGTTTTATGTAGGAGACGCTTCTATAAAAAAACGTAAGTATTTATTAATAAATCTTGAAGAATTTCATCAGTAAGTTAAAACATTGTATGCAATTAGGAGGGATGCATCAATTCCAATTCCAACCAATNTTTTTTCAGCCTTTTAGTTGGATAGAAAAGAAAATTGAAAATCGTACGTAAATATAATTGTTTTTATTAAAATTATTGTTCTTAATCTTTTAGTTTAATTTCACATTGAAAATTCTAGGTAAGTAAAATCATTGTATTTTAATTATTGTTTTATCCTTTTAGTTCTATTTGAAATTGAAAATCGTAAGTAGGTATAATTTTTTTCTTAGAATTACTGCTTTTAATGTTTTAGTTAAATATAGAAGTGAAAATTCTAGTCAAGTATAATTTATGTATTCGAATTATTCTTTTTTTCCTTTTAGTCAATTTAAAATTCAAAATCGAACGTAAGTATAATTTTTCGTTCAATAATTATTCTTTTTATTCTTTTAGTGAAGTAACAAATTGAAAATCAAGCGTAAGTATAATTTTTCATTGAACAATTATTATTATTATTCTCTTAATGAGAAAACAAAGTTCAAAATCGTTGGTACGTATTATTTTATCTATATATTTATGATTTTTATTCTTTTAGCGAAGAAACAACTTCAAAATCGAAGGTAAGTATAATTTTTCATTAAACAATTCTTATTTTTGTTTTTAGTTCAAAATTCGGAATCGCAATCACAAGTAAGTATAATTTCCAATTATTAATTCTTACTTTTATTCTTTTAGTGGAAAACAAATTCAAAATCATAGGTAATTATTATTTAAAAAAATAATGCTTTTAATTTTTTTCGAATAGATTTGTCTGAATGGCTCATGAAAGTGAACATGATTTTTGGCTAAAAGTAAGTTTCCGCAAACCTGTTAGAAGGGTATTTGAAAGGGTTTAGTATCTTACTAAACCCTTCTATATACCCTTCTGTAAACCCTTTTGAAGGGTTTATGATACGGTTTATGGTTTTCATGAACCCTTCTAAGGGTTTATTGATTTCATAAACCCTCTACTAAACCCTTCCAAAGGGTTTATGAAAGGGTTTATGATTTTCCTAAACCCTTTCATATACCCTTTGGAAGGGTTTATGATAGGATTTATTGCTTTCCTAAACCCTCTACTAAACCCTTTGGAAGGGTTTAGGAATGCTTCATGTACGGTAAAAAGGGTTTGTGGTACGTTGCACTTTAATAATCCTTTTTAGGGTTTATTATTCTACGTTTTCTTTTACAGTGCAGTATCTATTTAAGTGATCCATAATATGTGCATGAGTTCCACATTTTAGTCCCAATAGAGCTGTGCTGAAAACGGTTGCTTAAAATAAAGCGATACGGTTGACACTAATAATAAAGCACTGCAGCAGATTGTAATTATATTTGAAAATTTCTTTGACAACTGAATATTCAGCATCTGATTGCAGTTCAAACATCAATATTCTTTAGGTAAACTGCAGAAAATCTCTATAACAAACTTAGAACTCTGCCTTTAAACAAAATTTTAAGCAGGATTTTCATTATAATTGATGTACAACTGTGCATCGTACAGGAAAGAAATAAACTAATATGATTTACAAATGATTAGAATTCTGGCACTACTGGTCGGCAATTGTCAGATGACAACAAGTAAGAACAAGATTTGAACTAGGTCAATCTGAACCAATGCTTGTTCTGCTGTCGATAAAATTAACTCAGTAGTCCTTTTTTATTGATATCAATGGACAATCAAAACTGTCTTTTAATTCTGTATTATATTATGGAACGTAAGAGTCATTTCTGATTGATAATAAAGAAATAATTGGAAAAGCATCAAGATTAAATCATTGCGGCATAACAGTGATTACGATAATTACTAGTCTTATCAAATGATTCCGAATATCGTCCTGATATTCGGCAACAGGTCATACCTTATCGCTCAACTTAAAAGTAAACAGAAAAATTTTATTCATAGTTTGGTATATTTTCTCGCATTCGATAATACAGCGTATGTTAGAAAAAATACACTTCAGCAATCTCTACCTTGTGGGTATGTATAGACTATTGCAACAATCACTCATAACTCACATTCTTTTGCTATTTTTTGTAGTAGAAGACAGAGTTACTGAGAGTAGAGCACTATTTCTAATTATCTCTTTTAACAGTCAACTCGCAATGTAAAACAATTCTTTCGTTGTTTTACCTTTTTTAATGTTTTTGTGTGAAGAAAAGAATTCAAAAGCAAGATGTTCGTTGCAATAAACCGGCGTCTCTTTTTTGGTTATATAGAAGAAAAAAAGTCATTTTCATGTTCTTATCATTCTGCTATAGGGTATACTTCACTTTTCTTCTTTCTCGGGTCTTTTTTTTAGCCTTCTTCTGTAATAGGTAAGATAAAGTAAGAGGTGATTAAAAAAAGCGATCATATTGGAATTAAAATAGCTGTAAAAAAATGCTAAGCAGGAAGGGGCTGAACTTATTTAGATTTGAACAAAGGAGTTCTATGATTCTGCTATGAGACGATTTTCACATAAGTAGCAATTCTCTACACTTGTAGTACGGCCAATGGCGAAAAGTAACTGAATCTTATGTTTTTCTGATTTTTATCTCACGTATAGCCTTCGTTCTAATAGTAACCACAACGTTGGTAACTTTGTCACGCAAATGTGCTCAGAAAAAGTTCTTATCAAGACCAAAATAATGAATATTCCTTCGTAGTAATTCACGTCCAGATTTTAATATGATGTCGTTGTAAGAAAACGCTCGTTGAGATTTATCAGAGGTGGAACGTTACCTTAGTTTTAGCTATTAGTAATAACTATTGTACGTAGAGAAAAATTCATGTTCATTAGAGGTTGATTATCGCACTAGTTTTATGCAGTTAAAACATACACAGAGGACATTTAGTATTTCAAGATAATAAAAGACAATGGGACAGAACGACAAAAAATGTCAATGCCATGTTTAGATTGGGTCCTTAACGAGTAACTCTCATTTTAACCATTGAATATAACAAAAAGTATTTAACTTATCATACCCCTTAGATACATCAGATGAAGTACGAACAATTCAAATAGTCACCATGCGCTCCATCTTTATCTTAAATTACGCTAGCAGTCAAAAGTATGTTATAACATTGATATTTGACTCTTTAGATTTCATGGTGTAAAAATTTGCAGGGCTTATTTTCTTTGTGAATTCTAATCGTTGATACTAGCATATATCTTAACAAATTGGTATAGAATATAAAATGTTGTTGTGCTTATCAACATGTATCGTATGAAGAAGGTTATTTGCACACAAAATATGAGTCTATTTCACTGAGATGTAACCGAGCTCGAATCATTATTTTGATGAGCACACTCTCCAAACAATCGTATATCACTCTTCTGGATATTCTAGCTACACCAGAACACAATATTCTACCATGATATGTCTCATATGATCTTGACTTCAATGAAAAATATCTAATTTTCAATTTGGTGTTGTGTTGTAATAATATCAGTGGCATTTAACTTTCATTATTGGCTATCGATGAATATCGAATAATTTCATTTGTGATACGAATCACTTAAGAAAATTAGTAGTTTCGCTAAATACATTTTAGATTCATGCAAAGTTAAATGATGGATATTTTTCATTGAAGTCAAGATCATATGACACACATGTCATGGTAGAATATTGTGCTCTGGTGTAGCTAGAATATCCAGAAGAGTGTGCTCATCAAAATAATGATTCGAGCTCGGTTACATCTCAGTGAAATAGACTCATATTTTGTGTGCAAATAACCTTCTTCATACGATACATGTTGATAAGCACAACAACATTTTATATTCTATACCAATTTGTTAAGATATATGCTAGTATCAACGATTAGAATTCACAAAGAAAATAAGTCCTGCAAATTGTTACATCATGAAATCTAAAGAGTCAGAGATCAAGGTTATAACATAATTTGGATCGCTAGTATGTATCCATGATATGATACACTTGGAATTAGATAAGCTTTTTACAAGTCTAGCCTGTTTACTTCGAAATAACAATAATGCAAAACTAAGCAAAATTTACGTAAAAACTATGTAATTCTCTTGGAGTTTGTGTTTCATCGGTAAAAAAATTAGGAATAGAGTAATTTAGAATATGAGTCCTGGCTGTATGTTCTAACTAAGTTGAATTCAATGGTTTCTTTCAAGCGTTGCTGGAGAACCGACCAAGACACAATTTTTTCTCATTTCTGTTCATTATATTTTTCAAAAAATCAAGCTTAGAACTAGTACTCATCCAGATTTATGCAATCTGACTATTAATAATATACGTGCCAATGAGTTTTCTCAATGCGAATAAACGCAATCTACACAGTGAACCTGATAATGATTGTCGTTAGCATTAAGTTGCATTTCTAATCATCGAGAAATATTTGCGTCGCCGGATCTACACAAGGAACACGAATATATAATGTGTGATTTTGAATGCTAGTAATCAAGGGAAATAGTTTTTAAAATTTTTCTTTGAGTGCACTTTTTCTCTGCTCATTCAATCATACGGATTGTACGAATAAATGGATGGTGAGAAAATAGTTTGGGCGATAACTACGAAAAGTAAAGCTCGAATCTTATTTAATACATCATTCCCTTAATCAAAATCCAATCGTGTAAAGAAAAAATTTAAATAATTTCTCATTTTTCTTGAGCAACCAGTGTTAGAAACTGTTGACATGTATGGTGCCATTGCAAAAAAATGAGTCAGTCCAATCTGACACTTTTGTTTTGCAAACTAAGGAATTCATGTTTCTTTTTCGAAGGGAAAGTTACCATAATTTTAGAAAAAAACACTTCATTGCACTTATATCACTTTTCGTTCAGTAATGCTGCATCTTTGTTATTTTAAATAGGATAATTGAATGAAACATTTGTGATCAATTGCTACATAATATTTCATACATAGGGATGGATCTAGTGAATGATGAGTGTCAAGCGCACGCAGTATCACAACATGACGTTAGTACAGGCCATGACGATTCCACATTTTTATTTCGTCAAAGTCTACTCCCATATTATGGTCCAGAGCTGCCGCATCCATGTGAACATTTGCTGCTAGATGAAAATATCGATCATCATATTGCACGTCTATTGGCATCGTATTCTGTTGATATTAATCGTGGCTTCTTACCTTCTGTTGATCCGCTGCCCCACTTGCCACTTTCCAGCAAATTTGCATGCTGGGAATTATTAATGATGGATTTAACGCGATATTTGCATGCAAAAAATATTCGCTCAGCTATTTTATCACGTCTCAAAATTGTACACATTGAACAGAATGATCTATTAGATGAGAGTGAATTGCACCGTGCACTTCTAGTGCTTGCTGTATTGAGTCATGCATTTGTATGGGGCGAAAAACCTATTAGTACCTATATTCCATCATGTTTAGCTATCCCATGGGTAGAAATAACGAAACGGGCGAATCGTCCGCCTGTGTTAACACATTCACTGATAGCCTTGTCAAATTGGAAGCGGTTTGACGTTGAAAAACCGATTGAACTAGGCAATATTGCCATGTTAAATTGTTTTCTGTCGGGTATAGACGAAGCAAACTTCTATTTGGTTATCATTGAATTGGAGTTTCATGGAGCAAAAGCTTTAAAACATATGTTGAGAGCTCAATATTTTTCCAGTAAAGAAAAAGTCAACGAACTAGTGAATGAACTGAAAGCCATTCATAGTATTCAAAAAACAATATTCGCCACTCTCGTAAAGACGTTCGATGAAGTTGATCCGTATATATTTTATAATCGAGTACGACATTTTGTAGCTGGTTGGAAAGGAAACCCATCGTTACCCGATGGTTTATTATATGAAGGTGTCAGTGAAACGCGACAATTTTTACACGGTGCGTCGGCAGCTCAATCTTCGTTGATAGCGGCGTTCGATGTTTTCTTCGATGTTAAACACGACAGTGAGCACACACGTGAATTTATAAGTGAAATGCGCTTTTACATGCCACCGAAACATCGTCAATTTCTAGAAATATTAGGCATAGACAAATACAACATAAATCATTTCGTCAAGAAATTAACATCTTCTGAACAAGTGCAACAAGAAAGTGAACTTCTTCATGCATACAATGCTTGCATTGATCAATTGGTAACGTTTAGAAATAGACATATACAGATTGTAACGCTCTATATTTTGGCACAAATACGAAAGAATGATTATGTTCAGTTGGATTCCAAGCAACAAACTGATCACCCTGTTAACAGTAATAGTAAACACTCAGATGAAACAGCATCGTCAGCGCGTGGTACTGGCGGTACAATACTGATGCCTTTTCTGAAGACGTGTCGAGATGAGACCATAATACAACGACTACATTAATCAACTCAACTTTGTTTTTTTCCTTGAGCATTTGTTCTTCACGCCACTATGGCATATTTTTAAAACTAAAATTTTGATAGTAGTTTTATGTGATTGTAATGACAAATTCTACCAATAAACATTTTGTGGATTAAATATGCGAAGAATGTTGATTATCTGAGCACCATACCCACGAAAACAAAAATTGTAAAAAGCTGCATCGGAACTAGAGGTGTCGGGTTAGCATTAAAAGTGAAAATAATACATTGCTTTATTTCTCCAGGAAAGTTGATGAATAATAAATCTTTAAAATTAAAAGTAATATCGGTGTTAAGAATGATAAATTAGTGAATAAATTCGCATTAAGTATTTTCTTTACCATAATACGCCAATGCATTATTTTCATTTTTAATGCTAGCCTGACACCTCTAATTTTAACACAAAATCGATGAAGGAAAAAAAGCTATGAACATTATTTAATCTGCATCTTACTTTTCATTAAACTAGGTCTTAGTTGTTCAATGTCAACAGCAACATGTCAATGTAGTTCAATAGATTATTGGAATAATTCATACTGTGTTGCTCTACTGTATCCAGGTCAAACATGTACATCATCATCTCAATGTATTAATGCTTCTTCATGTATATCATCTATATGTCAATGTAATACAAATTATTATTATTCAACATTAACAGGACAATGTACATATCAGTTAAGTTATTCATCAACATGTACTCTAGGAAACTATCAATGCCTAAATAATACGTTATGTTATGATTTAAGAACATCTCCAACAGGTACATGCGCATGTGATTCAACCTATTATTATTATGATGGTACAAGTTGTACTGCTTATGCCACATATGGTGCAACATGTGCTGCTGCAACGTATGGACCTATTTGTGATTCAGTAGCACGTTCACTTCAGTGTATAGGTTCACAGTGTAGTTGTTCATCAACAACTTATTATAATTCTTCCAGCTGTGTTTCATACACACATGTTGGATTTTCTTGTACCACATCATCTCAATGTGTAACAAATTCTAATTGTTCATCTGGAATATGTACTTGTTTGAGTACCTATTATTTCGATACAACGACAGGTAATTGTGTTACTCTATTAACTTATGGGCAAGCATGCACATCATCAGTTCAGTGTCCAACAAATATGTTATGTACTTCATCTCAATGTTTATGTACATCCACGACTTATTACAGTAGTCCCAATTGTGTATCTCGTATTTCATATGGTGGCACATGTAGTTTAACAATTCTTTGTGATACAACACTTGGTCTCGTATGCACATCATCTGTATGTCAATGTAATAGCACACAGTATTGGTCAACATTGTCAAATGGTATGCAAATATGTGCTAATTTACGTACGCTTGGCCAATCGTGTACAGCTAGTACAGATTGTACAAACTCAGCAACATCAGTAACATGTAAATCGAGTATTTGTGAATGTGATTCAAATGCATACTATCTTGACCAAGCAACCGTAACATGTCAACCTCTCGAAGCTCTTGGTGTTGCATGTACGCCAACATATAATTTCGAATGTGCTAGTTTTAATTGTAATGCTTCCAATGTATGTGGCACTGCAATTTCATCGACTATTAAAAGTAATGTTTCACAAGCATCATCAGAACCTTGTTTGAGACGACCTCATAACACGATGTTTTTACGGATGATTGGGATTTATTTATTTTTCTTTGAATTATAAAATTATTTTGTATTTTCTTCTTCAATTTAAATATGTACTTACATTTCAGTGATGAAATACTGAATCTCTATCTTTTAATTATCCATTCGAATTCTCCCGATAATACCCAGTGTGTTATATCATAATATTCAAGAATAAAATTTATAAAATAAAATCAGAAAATGAGCGGTACATACTCCTTCAAATTTCTGTTTTATCTCATAAACACTTTTATCAATGAATTTTAGTCAGAAATAGTAAAATAAAAAACAATGATTCTATTTACATGTTCTATTAATTCATTTTTCTGCTACCTTGTTTTCTATAAATATAAAGTAAAAAGACACATAAATCTTTCTATATGCACATGAAGAAATTTGTAATATGATAATATGATTTTCACGTAAGAGTTACATGAGTATTATACAAATATTTATTGAAATCAAGAAGCAAAAGTAAAAAGCATTCGCATTTAACTCAACATTACATGTAACTAATATAGACGATTAGATAATAATACGCTATCGAGTAGATGTGAGCTAAAAAATTTCGTAGATAAAATTAGAATCAATTTCATTATGCTCAATTAGTGTGAGAAAAATACCAAGAAAATATTTAGGAAATAGTTTCATCAATTCTATTGGAGAAAAAACGATTTCATTTCGTGATTCAACTGAGAGTAAAGAGATCGTTCAAAATATTCTCAACGCTTACTTGACGAATAATTGTGAAAAAATAGTTCTTATTATAATTCAAAGAGCCATCACATGTACGTATATCAAAATATGGATTTCATTATGCGCATACTTAATAAGTTATGTGATTTGAATTACATGGGAAATATAACATTGTATTCTAACGACCTGCGCAAAAAAACATTGAAAAGCTTTTTGTCAATTAAATAGAAAGTGAGTTTTGTTTTGTTTTTTCTCAAGGTTTTTGAGAAGCATACTTTGGACAAAATTTATTTTGTTCAAAGCTCTGAAGAGCAATCTAGAAAATATTGCAGTTTAGTCTTTCTAGGTTTGTGAATGTAGTATATCTCATTATCCACATCCATACGCAGTTGCGTCCTCTGCGTAAGGGTGATATGATTGCATATCTTCAATGCAAAATCAATGCTACTAAAGTTGAAAGTAGTCTCGAAAAGTATTGCCGATTATCCATTCTGATTCCTCACCGACGCCCACTCTTTTATAACCTTTGTAGCTATTTAATTCATTCTCAATACTATTAGACTGTCTCGTAACTTTGGGTTTCTAATATGTCTATTGGCTTAGCTATTGATTGTCTTTCACCGAGCCAATATTATTTCCGTGGGCAATATCATATCTTAGTATGTGTGCTTCTCCGGCTAATTGCAAAGCGTTCCAAACATATTTTACTTTAATAGTGAGCTTATTTATCGATTTATATGACAAAAGATTTCAAAAGTTTTGATTTTTTAGGCGTGATATTTGAAGTACAACACTCTTCAACAATGATTCTTTTTTACTAAATCTGGCATGTCCTTTAATTTTTGCAGTCATTCTAACAGTGGAATTCCAACGACCGATGATGGTCGAAATATATAAATATTTAGCACAAAGCTACAATTCAATCGAAACGTGGATCATTTGAATTTTCTTTTTGTTTAGGTAGGGTCCTGTTTGTATGAATTCGTTTGTATTTTGTCATTTAGATTAGGAAAAGATTAAATGTTTTGAAACATGCAATTATCCTATGTAGCCTAATGCTCATTCTCAGATATGTCTAAAATATATTATTGGTGTATTTAAAGTTAAGATCAACTCAATTATAGGAAAAGAATTTACTGAAGAGCTACTTAACTTCTCTAACAATAGAAAATTCCTAAGTATGTGACATTGTTTTTTTGATATATTCCCTTCTATAACATATAAATCCAGTAGATCATTAAAGCAATAGATCAAAATACACATATAAGTAACTTTTGTGATGGCAACGTCAAAAGATTTTCTTTTGAGAATATTTTCTTTTATGGTTAACAATATAAAATCCTATATTTAGATTTCAAAAGCATTACAGAATTCTACAGATTCAAAAAAAGAGCCGGCGTCGTCCGCTCTAATATAGAAATGAAATTTTTTGTAAAGATAGTTTGAATCTAAATTTAGAGTAAGACTTTTTCACAAGATCTTTCATTGCAATAATGAGCAATTAATACAACAATCAAAATAATTATCACCATAAATTACTCGAAGTGTTAGAATTTAAAAATTCTTTTCTTTTGCGTTCAACTGTGTTCCTATTCTTTATTTTTGAATACAATAAATTCATGTCCATCTATTTTAAAGTATTTTCAGTCTATTTAAAACAAACGTAAACAACAACAAAAATCTATTTATATATTATATTTATTAATTCATCCGATGAAATTTCTCTACCAATATGATTTTAATAAGTCACTGAGAAACTTGCCAGTTGCAGATGAAGAAATTTGTCATACGAAAGTGTGACTTCCGCACGAGTGATACGTCCATATTATTTCAAAATCTATTGAAATCAAGAAATCAACGTAAAAAGTATTTGCATTTTACTGCTTATCATATTTAATTAAAGTAAAGTATGGAATAAAATAAGTAGTCGAGTAGATGTGAATAACAAATCTAGTGAAAAAACAAAAAAACGGAAATTATTTTGATTCAATAAAATACATTGAAAATATGTCTATCAACTTAACTTTACATAAAGATTTCATATTCTTGATTCAACTGAAAGGAACTAGATGGTATTCGAGTTTCACTCGACTACGAAATGCGGTGCGAAGCACACGAGCCGAATATTCGAAAGTAATGAGAATAAGATTTAAAAAATAAATGATCCACTTTAAGATTCATTAGAGTCGATTATTTTTTTTAAATTTCCGTATACAAATTTTGAATGAAAATTTCGCATTCACTATTCTTAAATCGACCATTTTGAATTTCATCACTAGGAAATCTCTCTGAAAACGTAACAGCCAGTTTTCTAACGATTTTTTCATTGAACGATTAATTATTTTCATGAATCATTATCTTGAATCAGATGTAAAGCAATAGACTATTGGTTAACAACTATTGATGACGTCATTTTAATTAGCGCGAAACTATAAAACAATAAAACGTTTCAAAATCATCATTGTCGAATGATATTTTTAGGCGAACGAAACCTAGTATTGAAAATTGGAAAAAAGATGTAATAAGTTCGATCTCCATACTTTCATATCTAGTTTGAATGGATTTTCTAGCATTTATGGTTCTTTAGATCATCGCGCTACTTTATTAGAGCTTCTATGCGTACTCAAGTTAGAAAGAAACAAAAAAAGAACTCGCGACGGACTACATGAATGCTGTGCTTCGCACCGCATTAAAAAAGAATTATTTTGTAAACTTACCATCGTGGGAAATCTCAAAGCTAATTTGCGCCTGCTTTGCATTTTGTTACTTAGTGTACAATAGTTTGCGTAATCACACGTTTTTGTTTTTTTGGCTTTTATACGTGTTTTTATATTGGTAAAGAAAAGGAAGAAAAGTTGGAAAAAACCATGCTACGATGGAAAACGAAGTACACGACGGTGAAAAATGCTGTAATTATGCAAGAAAAATAAGAAACTATGCCTGCATAAAATGTGACTGTGAAGAAAATTGCCTAACTTTAATTAATAAGGAGAAATTCACTTGAATTAATCGATCTAAGTACATTAAACTTAATTTTCGAACATGAAAATTTCTATTTTATTATTCATTTATACTAATAATGAAAATATCGATCACTTCTACTATATGATAATTAATTGTTCTAACGAAAGACTCCTAAACTAAGATAGTATATTAATATTGATGTATAGTTGCCGTCGTGCCTGAGAATAAAAACACGTCATCATAGCTATTTATGATCTGATGAATCATGCTTGTGTTGATCTCGATCTCGATTATGAATTCAATTAATGTATTTTAGTTCAGTTTTAAATCTTCGAACTCAGAACATCTTTCTACTCTTTTGCAAATAGTAGTGAAATTATTTATAAATACGATATGTATTGTACAGTAAAATCTAGATCAGTATTTGTGATTGACTTCAACTTAAGATAGAGAACAATATTACTGTAGAAAAACTTTCATAAAAGAACACAAATTCTATGTGACTGTGCAACAGGCACATGCATTGCATCAACACATTTTATTTAGTTCATGTGAATAGTTGATTCTTTGCGCATCACAATCTATCAAGATGGGGTTACTTTATAACTACCCTAGTCGAACTTCTTTTATTCATGCGCTTGCAAGACTTGAGCTCAAGATGTGTCCATAGTTCTTGACTTTCTTGATCAAGAAAATCACGAACTGCATGCGCCTGCAAAAAAGAGTTCGACTAGGGTACTTAAAAATTGGGCTGCTCCACTTGAATTTGACGCGCTAATTACAAATTGTCCATCTTCCGATTCTATGATGAGTCCCATAACTGTGTTAAATCTTTCAACAGAAATTGTCTGGAATATCGATAACCAATCAGTAGAAAAATGTTCAAATGTGTTGACTGCTTCTATTTTGATTAGATATAAAGGTAGCAAGTCGGTTTCTACTATTTCGATATCGGAGACATTGTAGTATATCATATTCTTGTCCAATCTTGTTCACTTGAAGAGAAAGTTCTTGTCGATGATCAGACGCATGTTTTGAGCAAAATGGCTGGAAGGATGCATCGCCTTTGTTATATTTACAACACATTGTTTTAATGTTCTTACTTGTTGCCATATTAACTTCAAGTCTATTGTGCGAAAACGTGAGACAAATATGAAAAAATATCGTTTATCCTGTTTTTAAGTTTATACTTTTTCATAGTTCTAAAAATACAAGTAATGTGTGACAGAAAAAAAATTATATCTAATCCTTTTCCATCTCTATTAAAGTTAGAAAAACATTTAGTTACATTTGCTACAGCAAACATAACGAAGCATGTGTTAAATTAAATTTATTCCTATCTCATACAGAATTATGTGTCATCGTTGACAATAATGAGAGATGATCTTATTTTTTTTTATTGATCATAAGTTTCTCAAGAAATAACTTACGCGATAGAATCAAGATTTTACTATTTACGTATTTATGGATTATTTCGTTTTTCGTCATTTTGATAACCTTAATGATATTGAATTTTTTAAAATTTACTACAGCATATTCTTTATGATATAATTATACCAAAATTTTAAAAAAATCGCTTTTATCTATATTAAAACAACTAGAGTTCTATTATCTAATAATATATATATATCAAACAAGGAATATATGACCGGTCTTCGTGGCATTTGTTTGTAAAATTATATAAAATAATAGTTATCTGTATCGAGTACATGTGGATTGATCAGATGATGTTGTACAAGTAAACCGACTGTTGTCAAAGCTAGTTTTTCTTCTACAGCTGGTCCTCGATTTTGCCAATATTCACCAAAAACACCATGGGAATCAGCAGGGTTTAGTTCAGACACCTTGAATCCGAGACGAGCAATCGCGACAGTCAATCGATGCATATCTTGATCAGCAATTAGCACCGGTATAGGACCATTGTACGGTGGTTCTTGGAAATTTTCAGTAAATATACTAAAACTATCACGGGCATAGCCGTTCGCTTTCTCTGTATCGATAATCGGCAAAGCAAATACGACTGCACGAATATTTTTATAAGTAGATCCATGTTGCTCGAGTACTGCTCGAATAGCTATCACAGAAGTTGTTCGTACTTTTTCATCAACTCCAATATGCGCACCAGCAAAGACTCCAAGGCCAATTCCTGTTTCAACAACAATTTCAACGCCTTCTTCATCGCATGCTTTTAGTCGTAGTCTAGCCATATGCGTTAAGTCTTCTAAAATACGACTTTCACGTAGTTCACCTTTTTCACCTGATTTCTTCAAACGAAAGTCCCTTTCGTTGAGCAATGCTGGTTCATCTTTTGTAGGATCGACTTCAAAAACTTCTCTCCAATTCGTTATATAGTATAGTATGTCACGGACATCATGTTTTCGACCAGCGAAATCTATACCAGTTACGGAAACAAGTTTGATTCGATTAGGCCAATCTTCCTCTAAATTTCGAGATATCACTTTAGCATCGAATTCCATCAAGATTGGACATGTTGAAATTCTTACGACAAATTTCATACAGAAAGCTTCTCCGCCATCTTTACTGTGTCCTTCGAGAGCACGCTGAAGAAATTCTTTATTCAAGCCGTTAATAAAATTACCAGAGTAGACTTTATATGAACGTTGCCAATTCATGATTTCTTTTACGGACATGGAAAATGCATTGGGAATATTAGTGGGAAATCGGATAACTGTATTTGGATCCAATGTATCTGGACGATTGTGCAATTTAAATGACTTAACACCTTGAACAATATATTCACCAGGTTTATTCTTGAACCCAAATGTTTGCGAAAGAAACGTTTCCATTTGATCGGTTTGAGGACCACATTTGCCACTCATGGGCCCATGTTTGTTCATGGGCTCGAGTAGCATGAGACTTTCGAATAACTTCTGTATGCGTTGTTGGCTAGATTGATTAGAAGCAAATGTTAGACACGGATACAACGATGATTCAGATGAGTTTTTATTCGTAGCGATTAATGATTCGGAATTATTCGATGCAATACCACCATTCGATGGTGACACATGAATTGGAACCACTGTGTTTAAATTATTTGCAGAACGAATTTCAATTTGAGCCATTGGATTAATTTGACTTGTTCGTGTCTTTTCCGTGCTCTTTACCTTTATCGAACGCACAGTCCTAGGGCCATCTTCTTGAACTAACTCAAATTTAAACGATGATTCGACGTCATTCTTCAATGTTGCAATTTGTTTCTCCCATGCAGTAAGATTATCTTCTATGTATTGAGCTTTGCTTACATTAGAAATAAAGTTCATCGATAATTTATGCATCACATCCATCAACTGATCTTTTGATTCTTTAAGTAATCGTATCAACTCAGCACGGGCTTCTGCGGCAGTAGATTGAATGTTTTTAATAGATTGCTTTTCCCATTCATTGATTTTTTCCACAAAAGATTTATCTATGCTTCGTCGACTCACTTCTTGTCTGAGCAATTCCTTTTGTTCATTGATAGAATCAATTCGCTGATCTATATTTTGTCGATGTTCAGTCTTGTGTCTCATACAGAATGCTTGATTACATCCATTGCATGTATATAAACCGTCGACAACACACTGAGTACAACGTTTTGGAGTCGTGCTTACTGTAGACATACCAATATTATATGTCCGTAATCTCAAATAAGTAAATATTCAAATTTTCATTGAAAATTGTGTAAAAAACTTGTGTTTGCAACCTTTTACGAACAGAATAAAATATTCAACCACGTGCGTCTTTCATAATAGTTGTTTCGCCTGTTGAGTGGTTCGACGGGTAGCTTAAAGTGATTTATCAAAACAGAAGAAAGAAAATAAAAAAATTTAAAGTAGGAAGAACAAGTTCCGTTAAAAAGATTATTTTCACTTTAGCTAGATTTGTTCATGTTTTTTCCCAGTAGAAATATTTATATATGATAACTAAAGTTTAACAAATTCTACGAGAATATGAGCATAGTGAACAATTTCTCCCTCTATTTCTAATAAAAATCTGAGAGAAAAAACAAGTCAAATAGGAATACTTCACATGACATAGTGTATTTAATCTTGAATAATTTTAAATAATCACCTATTTATTGATGGTCCGACATGCAGTTTCATGCAATGAACTTCGCAATGACTCTTTCGAATGGTCTGAATAGATGAAACGGTCGTTGATCGGAAGTTTTTCAAATATTAAAGTCATATTCTCGTCGACCCTTAGTAAAAATATCTATTTGTTTGTGAGTAGAAAGCTTTAGACCTCATCGATAAATCAATTATAACTTTTTACTATGATAATACTACTGTAACTAATCTCTTCGTTATCAAATCATGTCTTTCACTTAACTATCTACATTTGCGAAATCGCTTGAACTTGACGAAACACTCGTTGATCAGTTAAAACAAAATGCGCTAGATGCATTTGAAAGATTGAATAAATGCATTCCACATAAGCCACTGAAAGCAGTTTCAAAAATGTTGGAAAGTATTGATTTATCTTCTAAGATATTTCAAGGAGCTACTGGAGTCTATCGATTTATTGCCAAAAGAACTAAAACAAGAAAACGAGCACAAAAATAAAATGATGCCATATAAGTAATGAATCAATCATGAGAGAAAAGCAAGCTTAATCAATAGATTTAATATGATGCTGTTATGGTAAATAAAATGTTTCATCTTAGTAATAGCGTGCGTTTCTAAAAAGCATATAATAGACTTTCTTCTATTCGTTCAAGCAGATTAAACTTGAATGTCAATTTTTGTTTCATTTTATTTTCTTCTTTATAATAACTTGCGGCTGGCATGCAAGTAGAAGTAACATTGAAAGAGCACGAAATTCTCATGTGCATACAACAAGAACAAAAATGAAATAAAAACCAATCACCAATGAAAAGACGTATGTACAGGAAATAGCGATTTATTCAATAGCCATAGTTAGTGATTTGTAATTAATTTGTGTAAAAATGGTGTTCGATATGTTCTGTCTTTCCATGGAGTGTCATATGTTTAGGAAACTCCCAATAACACATTGGACAATTAGTGCATCCATCATTAGCATCCGTCACTGATGCTTGTAATGATGTAATGTTGTTTTCCATCTGGTTGCGCTGCGTATGTACTGCATAGCTTCGGTTTATTAAAGGTTGTTCGAGCACCTGGTGATCAGTTGAAGAAGGTAGTCCTAAAATAATATGTGATCTAAAAATCTTCGAAACGCAATGGTCTATCGATAATCGTAGATACTTCTGATAGGAGCAGCAGTTTATTTTATCTGCCAATGGTCACCCTCAATTGAATCGTGCACTACTGAGACTCAGTCAAATCAAACTACAAAAGTGGCAACGTAACTTACTCCGTAACTTCATTCCTGTAATAGTTCGTTAATTTTTTACTCTGTTAGATTCTTGCACTTGTCAACGTGGATGCCAGTATGAGTGTGGTTTAGTTTTAATATAGGTCTATTCGCATTGATATAAGTGATAAGATCTTGCCCCTCATCCACACCCTTTACGGAGGCATGTAAAAGTAACTAAAAGTTTTAAATACCTGAAAGTCCCCGTAATAATGATAGTACAGACTTTTTTGGCGTTTCATGAACCATGGGAGTACTTTCAGTGTTAGCGTTTTCTATAAATTTGATCATACGAATACAAGAATCCGATCCAACGTCCTCTATAATGTCAATATTTCGAGGTTTGTTGATTATGTCTCGTAGTTGCTCTAGTTTTCTCATCCATTCATCAAGTTCTTTTTCAGTGTAGACATTTAAAGTTTGACTTGATTTCAATTGTTCGGTTATGTTACCCAGCGAATCTACTATTCGATGTTTCGTACGATCGCAATATGTCTGTAGAGCTGCTTGAGCTTGTTTAGCAGCTTCTCTAATCTGTTCAACTGATGCTCGTTCCCAGTCATCAATGCGAGCCACAAGATGTGGTACTGCAATTGGCGGATTAAGAGCTTCTCGTAGTTGATCATGTTCTTGTACAATATCATCCATTCGTTTCTCAAGCACTTGCCGATGTTCACTCATATGAATCCAACAAAAGCTTTTCCTGCATCCACTACATGTTACTACTCCATTTTGACAGCCAACACAAAATTTCTGTTGTCCAGAGGATGCCATTGAGCAATTTAGAAGTGGATTTAAATGATTTTTCGTCTGATCAGGATTCTACCTAATTTGTTGTTCTCCTACTGTATGCGTAAGACAGGAAAATATGACGATGGTAAAAGCAATGACTAGAAAAAGATTTGCTTACAGCATCAACCTGCAAAACAATAGAAATAGCATCATCTTTTTGAAGAACGCTGAGTATGAAGATAAAAAAAAGAACGAAAGCAACAGAAGGTTTCCATTTCATGACAACGTCTATCGTCGAGCAAAAATGAACAATTTCTTGCTCGAAACACTCCCAACACGAGCATTAACTTAAAGTTCGTCAAAACGAGCCGATATATTATGGCATCTACAAGCAAATCGGCACTATGCAAATAATTTTACAATAGACTTAAAATTTGTTAATAAAATCACTTAACTATTGAAAATCTCAAGTTTTCTTCGGTTGAACTGATTGTTTGATGCTATCACGTATTATTTACAGTTAGTTGTATTACGAAAAAAGCAAATGCGATAAAATCATGCTACTCTACTTGTGATGAAAGTGAAGAATCTCTAGCTTCGTTTATTTCATAGATAAAACTACTTTCAAAGAAATATCAACTCAGAATGACCACTTCATTTATTAGTTTTCTAGTGTAACAATTCATTAAACTTCATGTTAGAACAAAATATTTCTATTTTTTCGAGTGAATACCTGAACTGCTCTTTAATCAAAGTTACACAGCACTGAATCAATCAATTCAAAATATTGTTTCTAGCATTGAAATCTATTCGATTAATTCTGTAGAATAAGCGTTTTTTTTATTCCCTAAGACAGACGCTTTGCTATTTGGTTATCCTATTCACTTTAGGGATAATGCACAGCGGCCAGTCTATTTGATTTTCGATATTTATTCCTATGATCTCATAATAATTCTTTACAGTTTACATCCGATACTCGATCAAACTACTTTCATAATATATCTCTTATATTTAGATAAATTATTTTATTCCGTAATGCGTGTAAGAAAATAGTAATTTTTCTCTCGAGAACGCTTCATATCAATCGGTTGACGATGAAAATGTGCGAATAAACAAATTTACTTGTTTAATTGAGTCATTTAATAGATTACAAGAATAACTTGATTCCATGTCAGATGAAAAAGATCTAACATTAAGATTTTCGGTTCATAGCGAAAGATTTTATTTTAACACAGGATGAAAAACTTCATTTTTTTTCCCATTTTTCCAATAGAAGGTATAAGTATTGGTTAAGTAACGGCCAATAGTAAAATTGCCTTCATATATTATCGAATGAATGATTCGTTGCAGTAAATGTTGTTTTTTTGTTGATGTTGTGAAAATTTTGCAACAACCAGGAAACAACAATGTATATGTCATCAGTTGAAATCGAATTTTGTTTTTTTGTTGCTTTCTTTCTACATCATTGTCCAGAGCAACACAAGGCGAACTTCATAGAAAAATACTAATAAATATACTTATCCATCTTCTACTGTATTTTACACTTGGTTTCTTCTGAATATAGCTAATCATTCGAATGGCTCACCGAGAAACTTCACCAATGTATAAAAGTGTCTCGTTCGGTCTTAATGAAAGGGTTGATGATCAATTAAATACTCTGTTCAACAGCCTGATTCATCTATATCCCATGGATAAGAATGGTCCAATGAGTGGCAATTGTGATCATCAAACCAATCAAATGGAACAATTTCTTTCGCAAACATTTGGGTTCAAGAATAAACCTGGTGAATATATTGTTCAAGGTGTAAAATTCTTTGAATTGGAACATCGTCTAGACACAATGAATCCAGATACAGTCATCTACTTTCCTTCCAATATTCTCCATTCATTCGCCATGTCAGTAAAAGAAATCATGGGCTGGCAACGTTCATATAGAGTTTATGCCGATCAAAATATTCAAGGTTTGAATACAGAATTTCTTCAGCGTGCTCTCGAAGGACACAGTAAAGATGGCGGAGAAGCTTTCTGTATGAAATTTGTCGTAAGAATTTCAACATGTCCAATCTTGATGGAATTCGATGCTAAAGTGATATCTCGAAGTTTAGAGGAAGAATGGCCTAATCGCGTCAAACTTGTTTCCGTAACTGGTATAGATTTCGCTGGTCGAAAACATGATGTCTGTGACATACTATACTATATAACGAATTGGAGAGAAGTTTTTGAAGTCGATCCAAAGTCAGATTTGCCATTCGTCTACAACGGAAGAGATTTTTATCCAAGAGCGAAGGGGCCACCAGGTGAGCTTCACGAAGATCGTGTTCTACATAGTCTGATGCGTATGGTTGCACTACGACTAAAAGCATGCGATGAAGAAGGTGTTGAAGTTGTTGTTGAAACAGGCATTGGCCTAGGTGTATTTGCTGGTAACCATATTGGAATCGATTCCAAAATTCGAGCATTTTCAGCAAAGGCTAGTCGAAAAGTACTCGAGCAACATGGATCTACTTATAAAAATATTCGTGCTGTAGTCTTTGCTCTACCTATATTTAATAAAAGTGGATCGAAACATTCTGTTCCTGATACTTATGATGATTACGTAAACGAGTTTGAACAAGCGAAATACAATGGTCCCATACCAGTGCTAATTGCTGATCAAGATATGCATCGATTGACTGTCGCGATTGCTCGTCTCGGATTCAAGGTGTCTGAACTAAACCCTGCTGATTCACATGGTGTTTTTGGTGAATATTGGCAAAATCGAGGACCAGCTGTAGAAGAAAAACTAGCTTTGACAACAGTCGGTTTACTTGTACAACATCATCTGATCAATCCACATGTACTCAATACAGATAACTATCGGCTTTTAATAGTCGACAAAGAATTACTCGTATGTCCTCAAACTACCATCGATGATATTGAAGTGGGCCGCATTTGCTGTTCGCAACATTAAATGTAATTAATACTGTGCCACTTAGTTTGTACATTAATAATTGATTGTATCGATCAGTTTTATTACAAACATGTTGATCAAACAGTCGTGTTAATTTTAACATCTGTGATTATTTTAATCCTTTAGGAAATTGTTCTTTTTGTGTACTCAAAAAAAAAAGAGTACACTATAGAATCGGTCAGTGTGTCCGGCCGTCCGTTTATTCGATAACTCTTCACAATTACATTCGATTGAGCTGAAATTTTGTGCACAGAATTGTCTTATCAATATCTAGGTCGAGTTCGAAGATGAGAAGGATCCGTCAAGAAATGGCTGAGTTGTCGAAAAAATTGTCATTTTTGATCAGACCATCCCTGAGGGGGAGTACAGGGATTTTTCAAAAAAAAAATTTTCTCAGAATTATTCACAACATATATAAATCGACTCAGTTTTTAACGCTGATTCTAAATCTGATATTAGTTTTGAACTAAGTCATAGCTTTCTAACGAAACATCGCCTGAAAAACGTCTCAAAATTCACAAAAACTCCATCCAGAAATCAAATTGTCTAGTTTCTCATGATAATTTTCGTGTTCAGGCATTCTAGAATGACTGATATGTCGCATGCACTTTTTGCAGTACACATAACTCTCGGATGAAATCCGAAGTTTCCACATTTATTTTGTAATAAATATAGAAACTGCACGAAGTTACTTGATTTAATACAATTCAGGCGTGGCTGATATAACATTTCGTATATGCAAAATTTGCAAAACAGTGGATATAAAAGAATAAACAAGATCACAATTATAGATGATGAAATCTAAATTCAACTGTGAAATTGTTGACTTTTGAGGAAAACTGATTTATTTTAAAATAAAATAAAATAATCATTTATCATATAATATCATTTGTATTCTTTTTTTTAATTTTTGTTTCATTTCATGTATTCGTTTTCTGTCTAAGAATTACAATTTTTCAATTGATTCTTTAAATCATAACAAATTTTAACTTCTTTCAAGCGATTCGGTGGATTCATCGATATTTGTATGGCCGATGAAAATAATTTTGGATTACTTTGAAGAAATGCACTTCTAATCTTTGCTTGTGTTGAATTTTTCATAGATCGAATATTTGGAATATTTAATGAACGATAAAAATTTTCTATTGTTGTTAAATAATCATTTGCTGTTGCATAATGGCAAGACCCTAGGAAAATCGAGATCGGTTTAAAGAGAAGAAGCTTCAGTTTTTTCGAATCAAACTTACCATGTTTTTCCCATTCAGCTTGCATAAGATATTCATCGGGCATCATACAGTAAAATCGTTTAACAAGCGTAGCATTCAATTGTTTGTCATCTTGACAATTACGTGGATGATCATCTATTGATGCTGGTTTCGCTGCTTGTGGCCATAGACCATGAACAATCAAACCAAAACTATCACTATTACGACATTGAAATTGTTTATTTCGATTTGCTGCGGAAAGTGATTCACAATAAGTTGGTGACCTATGTTTACTTTTCTAATACAGAGAACACTCTAAGTTAATTTAGAAAATTTACCAGGAGAGTACAAGTTTAAGATAAGCAACTTTGGCGATTAAATTTTGCTTTTCACCATTTTTTAATTTCCAGTTAAAATCGTACTTAGCTTTCAGTTGTGGTGGTAGTGGACACGAATTTGGAATAACCGCTGCATTCACTCTTGACCATATTGTCATCAAAGCCAAGAAACATATCACTGCTATAAAAAAAGCATCAACAATCAATTGTAAACCTTTATGATTAAGACATTCGTACCTACCTAGAAGTTGTCTTTCCATTACTGCACTTCTCGATCTATCTATGCACTAAAATTACTTTTCAATTTAGTGCTATATAAGTAATTTTCTGCGATCTTCTAATCTATTGAATTAAGACTTGTGAATTGTTTAAGCCACTGAAAAACGAAACGGAGATTACACATTTTTAATTGTTGTGTCACAAGATGCGTGGTTTTTTGTATGATAAAAAACAAAATTTTATGTTTTTTTTTACTAAGATAAACCAAAGTATTTGTCTTGACTGGTATTCCAAGAGTAACTCTTATTTTGACTTTAAAATACCATCGATTAGCACGTGTGCATTACCTGAAGCTGTTTTTTCGATACCAATGCTTGGAAAATTCAATAGAACTTCGTATGAATAGTTAACTTTAATACGTTGGGAATACTAAATGGCTTTTTTTTGTTTAGCTTGACTGGTAAGATTTGAGAGTATTATTTTACGTAATGTTTCATCAATGATGCTGATTCCTTTCGACTGAAAAATATTTTTTTGTTTGTCTATACGAACGATTTATGGATTTCTTCTTCGACTTGGAAGTACGAACAAAAGAAAGAATGAATTCCATCTGATTATTTCTTCTCGTTTTATTAGAAATCACTTCATGAAAATAGGATATTTGGAAAATTAATTTTATTCGAATAAGAATTTGATCAATAAAATAAATGTTTGAAAATTGCTTTCACATCTAATATAACTTAAAGATGAAATTAAAAAAAAACCTTCTCAAATGAATTCAACTGTCATTTCTCAATTGTCTCATTTACTTCTTGTTAACAGATTACTGAATCGTTGAAATTTTTCTTCTAGAAAATCAAGCACAATATTGAATTTGTGAGAAGCTAGTAGGTCTATTCGTTAAAAAACAATTTCGAGTATAAAAAATGGATTGAAACAAATTGACTATTGAGCATACATCAGATCCGCATAGACAGGAAAATGATCTGAAGGGAAAAATCCGTTTTCATCATGATAATCATCAACTTTCGTTTCTCCATAGACACGATAAACACTATTTGATGATATCCAAATAAAATCAATTTTTGGACCATAACCGACTGTGCGAAAACCGTTAAAAGTTGGTGTTTCTCCATGTTGATATGTATCAATAAAGCCTGCTTCTTTCATCTGTTCGATTTCAGATGCTTTTTGTCCTAATCGAATAAGTTCATCAATGGGTGTTACACCTTCGATTTCCTCTGGCCAATTATTAAAATCACCTGTAACAATAACTTTATCATTATGATCACCGTTTTCTTTTATTTGTGACAATAGAACAGGTATGGAATGATGTCGAGCTTCTTGAGATGGATAATCAATATGAATATTATAAATAATAAATGGCTGTTTTGTTGTTCGATGTTCGAATTGGCCGCGAGTACAACCACGTGAATGCTTTGCACCCCACGCAGCACCGATCGTTGTTGGATGTTCATTGAACCAAAACGTTCTTGTTGAAACAAGTGAAAGTATATCATGGCGATAGAATATAGCATTAATTATTCGATACTCGTTTAGTTCCTCACCAACCCACGACCACAACTGTGAAGACCTACGAAAATAAATCGCGTTCTTTGTTTTCTGAACGAGAGAAACTCGGAAAATACGTTACTCGTTTAGGTCATCAAGAATTTCTTTAAGTTGTAGTGGACTGCCTTCTTGAGTGCCAATAATAGTTGGTTGCATGTTCTGGAGACAGTGTTTTAGGATGGACCTTCGCTTTCCCCATGCATTTGGAGTATCTTTATCGCAATCAAAGTAGCGTAAATTGAACGTGCAAACACGTACAGTCTCTGTGCTTATATTGCATTGCATAATATTCATTACTTTTCCTTCATAAAATCGAATACGTGAATAATAAGAGTAGCAGAAGCTGAAAAGTTATTTAAGATTGGTCACTTGGTGCAAGCAATAACAAGATGGTAAACGGTAGAGGCCATTCATATCAGTTGAAATAGAGATCAAATTTCATTATTTTGTCGGCGAATAAACTACCGCTCTGTGTGCGAGCTATCACCGATGATGGATAGTTTACATCAAGAACGTTAGTAATTGAGTAACTATTGAAAATTGAAAAAACAATCCTTTTTACTGAGGGGATTAATACATTTGTAATAAATCTCAATGCCTAAGATTTATACTAACAAAGTTTATTAACAAAAAATCGAATATCACAAACTACAGCACATGTGTTAAAAATACAATAGCAAAAACACTTACTTATCACATAGCGAATAGATTACATGAATCGAAAGTATAAATGTCATTCTTCAACTTATTGCTGTACGTCTTTATCCCCCACATACCCATACAGAAAACATTTATGCAGTATAAATTAAATCTGCATAAACAGGAAAATGATCTGACGGAAAATATCCATCGTCATCATGATAATCATCAACTTTTGTTTCTCCTTCAACACGATAAACACTATTTGATGATATCCAAATAAAATCAATCTTTGGACCATAGCCAACTGTTCGAAAACCATTAAAAGTTGGTGTTTCTCCATGTTGATAAGTATCAACAAAACTCGCTGCTTTCATCTGTTCAATTTCAGATGCTTTCTGTCCTAGTAGAGTAAGTTTATCAACCGATGTATCGCCATCAGTTTTTTCTGGCCAATTATTAAAATCTCCTGTAACAATAACTTTATCATTATGATCGCCGTTTTCTTTTATTCGTGATAATAGAACAGGTATGGAATGATGACGTGCATTTTGACATGGATAATCAAGATGCGTATTATAAATAATGAATGGTTGTTTTGTTGCTATATGTTCGAATTGACCGCGAGTACAACCACGAGGACTATTCGCTCCCCAAGCAGCCCCGCTAGTATCTGGATGCTCATTATACCAAAATGTGGTCGTTGAAATAAGTGAAAATAGATCATGGCGATAGAAAATAGCATTAATTTTACGCCAATCATCAAGTTTTTCACCTATCCATGACCAACATTTTGAAGATCTATACAAGATAATTAGCATGCATATTTTTTCATTAGATGGATTCAGAAGTAATTTATTTTACAAATTTAAATCCTCAAGAACATCGTAAAGTTGTGGTGGATAACCTTCTTGTGTTCCCATAATAGATGGTTGCATGTTTTTAAGACAATTTTTAAGAACTATTCTTCGTTTATCCCATGCGTTTGGGGTGCCATGATCATCGTAACCATAATGTAAATTAAATGTACATACACGTACAATTAGCGAACTTACTTCTGGTGTGATAGTATCCATGGTTTTATCTTTAAGAATGAAAATTTTCAATTAGATTATGATTTTGGGGTTGTGTATCAGATGAACAATGATTTTAGATTGGTCATCAGGTGAAAGCAATAATAAAAGAGTAAACGGTAGAGGCCATTGGCATCGGATAAGTAAGAGAAAAGAAAGGAATTAAATTATATCGATTAGATTTATTTCAACAAAATTTTATTAACAAAAAATTCTACAAAAGTTCATAGTAAAGTTGTTAGCCAACTTGATTATCAAATAATGTAATTACTAATTACATGATTGCGTAGTATAATTACATGTATACTGTATGCGCATTACACTTTTTGTAAATTTTAATTATTGATGGCAGAAAGGAAGGAAATATACTATGCTGCATAAACTAAATCTGCATAAACAGGAAAATGGTCCGATGGAAAAAATCCATTTTCATCATGATAATCATCAACTTTGGTTTCACCTTCGACACGATAAACACTATTCGATGATATCCAAATAAAATCAATCTTGGGACCATAACCAGCTTTTCGAAATCCGTTATATGTTGATGTTACACCATATTGATCTGTATCAACAAAGCCGGCTTCTTTCATCTGTTCAATTTCAGATGCTTTTTGTCCCAATAGAGTCAGCTCATCAGCAGGTGTTTCACCTTCGACTTCCTCTGGCCAATTATTAAAATTTCCAGTGACAATAACATTATCAATATGATCATTATTTTCTTTTATTTGTGATAGAAGAATAGGTATCGAGTGACAACGAGCTTGTTGAGACGGGAAATCAAGATGAGCATTATAGATAATAAATGACGCTTTTGTTGTTAGATGTTCAAAATGAGCACAAGTACAACCACGTGAATGTTTTGCACCCCATGCAGCCCCAATAGTTAGTGGATGATCATTGAACCAAAAGGTTTTCGTTGCAACAAGTGAAAATAGATCGTGACGATAGAATATAGCATTGATTGTATGCCAATCTTCAATTTCTTCGCCTACCCATGACCAAGATTTTGAAGATCTACAAATAGAAATTAATATTATTTATTTTTCTAATAGGTTCAATGTGAAAATAATTTACTCGTTCAAATCATCAAGAACATCTTTAAGCTGTGCCGGGTAACCCTCTTGTGTTGCAATAAGAGTTGGTTGTATGTGTTCGATACATATCTTGGCGATGGGTCGTCTTTTGTCCCATTCATTTGGCGTGCCAGTATCGAGATCACCACGACGTAAATTAAATGTACAAACACGTACAATTTGTGAATTTGATTTGTTAGTATTTTCAATCATTTGCTGTTTTTTCGTACGTCCATTAAGGTAATTTTTTTTGCGATGGAAAGATATGTTTTATCGATTGGTAGACTAGAAAGAGCAATCGCTAAATAGTTTACGGAAGAGGCCCCTCGTTCTTGGTTTGGTGTAACTGCGAGTCATTTGCTCGTATGATAAGTACTGCATTATTGAAGAATTAACACAGCTTCTCTCATTAGCAAATACGTTTGCTCGTCGAGGTTTCTATTCTCAATAAACCATTACATTTCGGATATCGCCTACGTCATGAAAGTTATTATTAGATCGAAATTTATTTAATAAAGCCGTTATATTAAATACTCTATTATTTTATATATTTTTTTTTGAAGTTTAATAAGACACTCGCGCGTGCAATTACCTATCTATTGATTCAATAAGACAATTTCAAATAGTACCGGTATGATCCTATTGATGCGTAGATGTCAGAAATTTTCAATTGTATCCGTTTAGTTACCTTTTGAATGAAGTAAACTTTGAATTTGTCTCTTACTCTTACGACTTTTAGAGATTAAACTTTTAGAATTACGTTGGTACTTCTGTTCTTCATTATAGGCTGCTTCTAATTTAGCTCATTAAATATTGTAAACTGATAGCCAAAATTAAAGATTACCTACGCACCTATTTTTTGATTCTTATATAATCCAGCGTTAAAGATGTATTTAAAAACGTATATTTATATCTTTCGTTGATTGATTTCATTTATTAAAACACTTGTTGAAACAATCAATGACGAAAATACTAATGCTTCGTTTATGCTAAAGTTTCCTTCATTATTTACTTTGGAAGCACTATTATCATCATCAGAACTTTTCTGGAATGAAATTTAAATATTATCACATTTCGTTTTATGTTCTTGAACATAATAAAAATAAAACACATTGCTTATGACTCATCATTGACTAGCTCAGTATTCAATGGAACACAGATAAATGTATTTTCCAAATATTTCTCACTGAACACTCTATAAGATTAAATGCATTATAATAATAGAAAAACCAGAACCTTTCATGAATGTAGTAATTCATTACAAAAGCATTATTAATTATCAGGGGGAAATTGTAGATAGAAGATACATATTGATAAAGCTTTGCTACACGCGTGTGTATGCAGTTGTTATACTGTTTGAACTTGTAACAAAAATGTAGAGCCTGAAATTCAGATTACATTGTTTCTTTTTTTTTTGAAAAGGAGCATTAAATATAATTTGTATGAATGCGTCGAGTTTCCGTTTTTATCGAAGATGTCTGGTTTTCAACAGATGCATCTTGCAATTCAGCTGTATTTTCCATTGTTTATTTTCGGGTCTGTTTTTTATTGAGAATAAGAGATTTTGATATATGCGCACTTATAGAAGAAGCCAATCGGTACTTAACAAAGAAAAAAACAAGACGTAGTGACACCGTATTATAACACCGGCGATAGTTATTCTCTTCTCAAAATAGTATTCATGAAAAAGTAGCTAGGCAGCTATTTCGAAAATCGATATCAAAAGAAGTAATATCGTATTTACACCTTTTAACCGTATAATACGACAAATGACCGAATATCTTTTTGTTTTTCACTATTGAAAACTGACAATATGCATATATATAGTATACCTATACAAGTCCCTACTTTGAAAATATGATTATACCAGAAATTAATTAGTTGTAGCTACTTTGATTTCCGTTACAACGTGCAATTGATTTGATTTAAGATACATTCGTATGTATGACGACATGACATGTTGATGAAAAATTATAGGTCATAATTAATAGTACTGTTTTAGGCGCTAGATGTCACTGCAGCTTCATCACATGGGCTGAATTCATCGCAAAATATTAAAGACTCTTCGTGAATGTTTTTATAATATTGAAATGAAACTAAGATAGATCATGTGATACTATTTTTTCTGTTAATATGGATCAAAAATAAATGATCTTTGATACATTTGCATACATATTTAGTTTATCAATATAAGGATCGTAGCGATTATTGAGTCAACCAATTATTTGAATAGAAGATTTTGCTCTTGATTGATGAACATATCATTAAAAGAGGTTTAAAATTTTCCTTGACTATTTTTATCACAAGTAGCTTTTCCTGTTTATTGTTTTAAGCCAGAAAAGCCAATAGTCTTAGACTCTTAGCTTGACTGAAAATGATGTCTTGCCAGCTAAGCCCTTTCAGATTGTTCTTTATAACGTGACATAGCAATCAAGAATGATAGAGTTAACTTTGCAAATATGTATGCAGTTGACATCGAGAAAATCTATACGATCATCATTGCCGAAATACTCATCATTGTTACATCACTTAAAACAAATTTGTGATTAATTTTACCATTTTATAGAGTGATCATTTTTTTCTTCTGAGTTGAACTGATTTTAGTGCATTGAAATTCTTCTTAAGTCAAAGTAAGATGCTCGAAAAGTTCAGTTTTTATAATCTTTAAATCATAATTCCCAGAAAAATGTTGAACTTATTTAAAAAGAAACATACAAAATATTAAGCCGTCTGACTAAATTTCTACAGACTGTAATTTATTACATTTACGGCTGTTTTTACCGTGTCAATATGCTTTCGTATAGATCTATCAATCTCAATATTATACAGAATATAGTTCACATAATTGCTGTTAAATCAGCAAGAAATGAATGTTACTCACAATCAAATAGATCGAATTTACATCCATCAATAAAATTTGCAATTGAAAGTATTAATACTACTGATAAAATGCTATTTTTGCTTTTTCGATATATTGTTGTCTATAAACAAAAATATATATTCTTTACAAATACTTAATTATCATCATTTCGCATATAGTTAACTTTTGCAGTTGTTGGAAGAATAACGCCTTGCCGGAGATTAGTTCTACTCTCTCTCTCTCTCTCTACGAAATAATATTTATACTGTATAAAAAAAAAACGTTTCTTTTTCCGATTAAATAAATCACTCGACATACATAAAAGCATGAAAATACGAAGGAAACTTTTTTAATAATCACACTAGCTAATCTTTTGTTTTTTAGTGCTGCCACAGATTATCAAAAATTGATCATTCATGAAACGATAATAGACGGATTAGATTCGTCCTTGAAACTTCTGCGATACTCTTGTATAGAATATATCTACCACGTCTTAAAGTTAGATTCATTAGTATTCTTGAGTAAATCAATGCCTTAGAATATTCCTAATACTATTTTGAATAAAAAGCTATTTAGTGTAAAGAAAATAACGGAAGACACTTTACGACTAGTTTTCTATCGGAAGATCTTCATTTGATATATAGCAAAGTATTTTTTATGAATGCATATCCATACAAAACAAATATACGTATTTTCTTGCATTTAGAGTATACTAGATTATGAAAGCAATTCTGAACAAATTTACTCATGGAATATAATCACTAATCGGCATGCATGAATTTGCATTTTTTTAAGATTCTTTTTGTCTTTATCGATTAGTCACGAGTTTTGTCTAATCTTAACATATAGAAGAAAGATTCTGTGCGGAAGAATTATAATATGTCTCGGTGTTCAAAGAAACTCCTATTGATAAGAACAACAGAAAAAAAAAGAAACAACCCACGGGTCCGAAGTTAAAGATAAAAGTATCTTGTTTGATTGAACAAGAATATGAATCCTTGAATAGAATAGTAAGCTATATTAGATTTCTAAATGTTCAATCAAGCGTCCATTTGACAGGACAGAAAAACTGATTCTTGTCTATTCTGTAAAGCTAACCTTCCATGACGTTATGCGATTACATTTGCATACAAATAATTAAACGCTTGCGCAGCTATTTGTTATTCTTGTATTTAACTTCAATGAAAACAAATCCTACTAATTGTATGTCAATATTAAATGAATGAGCATATAGAATGGAGAAAAAAGCTGCATCTGCCAAGAAATAATTGGTTTTGCGGTTTCAAAACACAAAAGTGATACTATGAAAACAGAATATTTTACCATAGGCCGCCTATAATTAATCAATCCAGATTTTTCGTTCTAATAAATTTTTTTGTGGTTCTATGACTTACTTTTTATTTTTATTAATATCGCATGAATGTAGAGCAAAGGCTAAGCTTAAATCGCTAAAATTCGACACGCATGCAAGAAAGAGAAAATAATCCTATTGTAGAGAAACCACTTCTTTTCTAATCAATTTACACAGTGATATTTTGGGAAAGTCAGAATCCGCTTTATTTTTTTTCTCAAGTAGCAATCCTAAATGGCGGTGAAGAAAAAAAAAGAATATTCCTTATCGATGTGTATTCTGATAAGTACTCTTAAGAATGTTGGTTCCGTATGTGCTAAAATTTAGACCAGCAACCAAAACGTTGATGATGTACGGTTTTAGACTGTCTGAGAGGAACGGCTCGTGATAATATTTGAACTATTTCCTAATCGAATTTTATGAGGATTAAGTAAATGATAAAAGAGATAGAATACAGCAGTCTCCCTCCATATATAATTAACATGAGTCGCAAAATCGTGTTTACATTTTTAATCTCAAAATGATTGTATTAACAGTTTTTCCCTTAAAGATCTATTGCTAGACGAAAGGAAAACTATTCTATGAAAGAGTACTCATTAAAATACTTATGAATAAGTAAGTGTACCAAAAACACATCGAACTTGCGCAGCCAAGCAAAATGAAAATGAGAGCAAGCATGTTGCTTAATAGCTTGCCGAAGCTTTTATGGTGATAGTCTTGTAGGCGACTTCTGATAGCAAGATGAGTATTTCTTTTCTTTTTTCCTCTTTCGAGTTCTCGAGTGAGATGAAAAATTCTTCTACATAAAAATATCAGATTCTTCTTTTTTCTTTCCAGATTGAACATTGATAGATGATAAATAATTAATGATTGTTATCAAAAATCGATTGCGATTGCTAGAACAGAATCATTCGAAATTCTTATTGAATGTTTCCCATTGCTTTGATAATTTTTATACATGAAAGATGGATGTCTATTTCTGTATTACATTAAATATGATGATTTCTTTTTCTCTTAAATTTTCATTAGATATGTCTATCTTGGTAGAACGAGTGCACTGAAACATTTGAATAGAACACACCCTTACAAAATCTTTTGCCTAAATAGCTAGAGTACATAAATGTTTAAAAAAAAGAATAGTTATTATTGCAAGATGAGTAGCCGATTATCGTATTCACATACTTGAATCTCAGTACGAGTACCAATAATGAATACTCAAAAAGCATAAGTTCCGTAGTGTTTTATGGCGAAGTACTCGATAAGTATTCGTCTGTGGAACGCTTCATTAGACATTAGATCAGAAGATTTTTTATTCGTGATAATAAGATACAATTATGTCATTGTATGTTTTCTTTATATGAAATAAACTGATTTTGTCAGTATAAAAAATGTCTTTGACAATATCTGGTACCTAGATGCTTTCATTTTGTCTTGTATGTCGTACGGTTACATGACGTGACAAAAGCTTCACGCACGCAATGGTGACATGAAAATGAAAAGAAGTACGGTTTAACTCTATGACAAATACGATTAACATAAGTCTACTTGTATTTTCTTCTTCTTTTCAAATCAGAGAATCTTTCACGATTTTAATCCATTGCTCGTCAACGTAAACACTCTTTATTAGCATAAAGTTAGCTTGCAATATAAGACTTAAAATAAAGTTTTTGAACTCTATCGGTTTGATTTTATTTTTAAATCTAAATATCTCGAGTTCACACATTAATTCTTTGCATAAGATTTTCCATTCTGCTCTTTTTTCTTGATACTTATTCTTTCTCATTCAGTTTAGCCACAAGGAAAATAGGGAGAGAGAGAGAAGAAAAGAAACAAAATATTATTTTTAAACGATAGAAGTAAAAAAAAGATGACGAAACGATCTTTTGGTTTACACCCAAGGTTAAATATATTATGTCTTTTTAATGAGAACATTGCGCATTATAGTGATTTATATATTCTAATAAAAAATTATTTCTTCAAAAGTGAGTATTATGTAAAGAAAAGTTACTCTGAATACAATAAACGCTTTCTTGTTTGACTTAAATAGAAATAAATCCTATTGTCTTTTGTTGAAGATTTTTATGCCATGGAAAACTTGACGTTTATCAAATATACTAATGTTTTCTTTTTTTTTTCTTATAAACTAATATAAAAGAAAAGAAGATTAGAATCACTTAAGCTATGCATTTAGAATTTTTCTATTCATGATCTAAGCTCGTACAAATACAATGTTTGATGTCTATCCCCCGAACTATACGACGCAACTATGATAAATAGCGAGGAAATTTCAATGAACATAAGAGAAACGTTCGCTGCCTGTTTTCTTCTTTTCAATAGCCGTGCCGTTTAAATCAAAAAATTACTTTTCGAAGATAAAATCGTTTTTCTTGTTTACGTTCTGTCGCAATTAATCTATGTTCTCTGCAGATGATAAGTAGCTGGCTTTTCTTTAAAAGAAACCGGGTAAAAGGAAACAGAAATCTAAAATGATCATTTTCTCTTTCTATGACTATGAGCAACAAAGACATCATTGTATCACATATATGCGTGTACGTTTCTCTTCCTCTGGTTTAAAAAGCAATTCACTTACAGCTTTGACAAGCCAAATCCAAATCTAACGCCGTGTGACATTCATTTGGCTCTTGGGGATTTACATACGATCACCACTCCACAAAAAAGAAAACGAAAGAAAGAAAGTAAGCTTTTCTTTTTCCTTTTTCCGTCAAATTTCACTGTCTATTTTTTTTTATATTTGATGTTGTTTTAATTAAAACTGAGCGAGTGAAAGTGCCGGTGATTTTTTGATTCTTACATGCAACGTTCTGCCCTGTCAAAATAGCTTTAAGTCTTTTTTCTTTTACAAAAAAAAAGAACATGTTTTCTACAATTGCTATTGAATCAATGGGCATGACTAGCCGATTTTCTGCTTCATCAACAAACTGGGGAAATTAGTATTTTTTTCTCCCTAACAGAAGCATAGAAAGAGAGAGAGAGAGAGAGAGAGAGCAAGAGAGCCACACCTTATGTATATATGAGCTAACATTACTTGAAGAAGAAATAAAAGACGTAGGAGCAATTGAACTCTATTAATGACGACTACAACGGTTAACACGGAACAGGTAGTTCATTATCGTCAAAGCTAAGATTGATTGGCTGAAGAGGAAAAACTCAATTGAAATCATTTTTAAAACGAAGCAAATCTTTTTTCTTATTTTTCGAATACCTATTATAGATTACTGTATGCTATGGCGAATATAAAAAGACGAACAACAACAACAACAACAACAACAACAACGACAACTAGAGTCTGTTGTTGCTAATGTCAGATGATGCCATTCTATGATAAACATGTTTATCTACCATGAGCCCTCGCCTGTTGGTGATGCTCATATTTATAATTATTCGATTAAAAGTTAACTTCATGTTAAATTCCTCATCATTGAATCATATTGAAGGTAAACAGCAAAAAGAATGTTTCCTATATTTTATTGCTATTATTATTTAAAGATTGCTTTTATGAAAAACGATTTGACACTTCATTAAATGGTTATAATGATCTTCATGATCATTGGATATCAGAATTAGATTGTTTAGAACGTTGTTTAAGATTCAAACCACAACGCTGCAGGTCATTTGAACATTGGCGTTCACATCGCCACGGTCTATGTGTGCGTGCTAATATTTCACTAAGCGAACAACCATCATCAATAGGAACAAATTTATTTGTCGATTATTATGAAATCGATTGCCGACAAGATACGAAAGGTTTGTTTGACTCAATAAAATAAAGTTTTCTTTCTGTCTTTCTTTCTTTCTTGTTGATCTACATTTAATTAATTCTAGCTGTTAGATTACAAACAACAAGTTGTCCAGGTGATCAATTAAATATATTTGTCGCATTAAATGGTATTGATCGAAACTATGTTCTACTCGGGGATAGTAGTTGCAAACCAGTCTGGTCAAATGAAACACATGCGGAATTTATTACTCATGTCGATAATTGTTCATTGGTACTATATTGTTTTTATAGCAAGAAAAAGAATTGAATTTATTAGATGTCTCCTCTGAGAAACCTGCCAGACAAAGTCAATACTAAAAAATGCGAGAATATATTCAGAGGGGAAAATGCTACGTAAACATTATATTTTGCTAATTGAAACATTTGAGCTCGCACTTGTCTGTATAATATAGGTGTTGACTTTATCGATGAATAAATTCACTTAATAGATTTTTCTTTTCTTCTACATTAAGATTTTAACAGAAGGTTCAATTGTTGGTAAACTTCGTTGGGAAGGCGTAGATAAAGCTACGAATGAAGCTCGACAATATGAACGATTTTTTCTCTGTCCAAGTGATATACTTCAAATGCGTTCAGCTCACTGGATTTCAACAGCATCTAGCACGCCCACCACAACACTTACTAAAAGTACTCTATCACTAAGTTCTATTCGTCATCGTGTAACACCAACAGCGTTTAATGAAGAAGAACTTCCTCTAGCAACGCAAAGGTAGAAAAGAAAAAGAGTAAACGACAGTGTTTTTTAAATGTTTTCTCTTTCTTGTATTAAAAAGCATTTCTTTACGCTGGATTACACATAATCGAACGTATTCTTGTCCGAAAACTTGTTCTATCTCGCTTTATTCTCTTATTCATGTGACATTTGATGATTCAATATACTTATCCTCGAGATTTTTAATCGAATCGTGTGATTTAATAGCTCTTTATCCATACTCGAATTATGTACAAAAACGTCAATTGATATACCAGGGGTAAATAAAAATTACGAATTTTCTACAAAAAAAAAACCAACACATCTTGTCCTATTTAGTTGTCCAATGGATTCAACTGTGATTCATTTACCATCTGAAATGGATACTTCATCGACATTTTATTATTCATTTTATCTCTATAATATTCTTAAAGAGCCGATACCATTTCAAATTCAATGTCAAATATTAGATCATGAAGACCACCCTTCAGTCAATCGTACTGATTGTTCACAATTATCACTAGTCGATAAGAACGATTTATCAATAATTAAAGGTGACAAAAGACATTATTCATACATCTTATTTCGTTCATCGCCGGTTTATGTTACAAGACAATTACCATTAAGCTTCTTTGAACGAGATAAATCCAATGCCCCTAGTAATTATTTTAATAAATAGAAAAACTATAAATAGAAATTTTTCTTTTCTACTTAGGTTCCATCGCCGTCCATCACATTCAGTGTTCTCTACTTACTTTTTCTTTTCTTATTCATTGGACTTTTGATTACTATGCTAGATGAACAGATCCGTGCAGAAGAACATTTAAAAAACAAACGACAATTATTTCTTTAAATAATAATACTCTTTCTGTTTAATTCGTAAATTATCTTGGTAATTCTATTGATAAATATTCAAATATGTTTGCATATAAAGATGATGTTCACTTTTATTTATTTTTTATTAAATACTAATGAATTATAAAACAGATTCGGTTCGAATATTGTATTTTATTTTGATACGTTTAATCATTTTTTATTGCAAAAAAAAACCAACAAAAGCATAGATGAAGATCTCAACTTTATGACCAGAAGGTTTGTCAACAATCCTTCACATCCGAGCTAACAGAACAGTTAACTACGAATGCTGTAGATGTTTTTTTTTAATTTCGTTTTTATCATATAAATTTATCTTTACCGGATTGAATAAATCTCAGGATATATCTGTCGGCAAGAGAAAGTGAATATTCAGGTTGCATTTTCTGGTAATATCTAATAGCATTATTAATGTGTTCATATCTACAAGATAAATTTTTGTCTGGTTTCGATATTATTTAATATTCATAGACTTGTTAGTTTCTGTTTCTGATTGTTGGCTGCCGGTTTTGATTACTTCTAATGACATATCATTCATTATTAATTTTAGACGCATAAAAAAAAAGTTATTTGCTATAACTAAAAGTAAATCTTGTCGAAAAGAAACCGAAAGGCTTTACTTTTCGTAAACACATATTGATGAAGCATTTTATTTTATATTTATTTTACAGTAACCTATTATTAATAAGCTCCACATGGTATGAGTAATATCCAGGATTTAAATACAAATATACCTAATATAACAAATACGATTCATGTGGATATTATCCGGCATCTAAATTTTGTCCTTGTCATATGAATGAATAAAATTGATTCATTCGCAAAACTTCACCTTTTCGATTTCGATTAGCCACATCTTTTTTCCTTCGCGCTCTTGTGGTAGGATTTTGATGCGTACCTGTATATATATATTTATTGATTACTAACACAATAAACTGCGTAGTGAGAGCGAACGAGAGAGACAGAAAAAATATAAATACTTATGAAGCACGTAGTTTTAAGAACATATAAATAGGACCTACATTGAATATTATACTTGATATTAGTCTCGACGAATCGAATTCTATCATGAAGCTTGCTGTTCTCATCGTACTTGGCCTGATTGTTGCAACTAATGCTAATCCACTGAGTAGATCGTAAGTAAATTTCAAATCATTAAAAGAGATTTTTAAACATAAATTTTCTGCGTATAGATGTGAATGTGCAGCTGTTTCAAATACTGTGCATTTTCCATTTCATTCATGGGATGTGTCATCTTGCAAGTTGTGTTCATGTACGAATGCAGCCATGACAAAATGTGAGGAAAGCTGTAAAACATACGTCGAAATTTATGCAAGCAGCGGATGTGGAATGGCTCCCAAAGGCACGAAAGTGAAATATTCATGGGAAGCCAGTTCATGTTCAAAAGGTATCAGCCAAGTTGAATTTACATGTGCTTAAATATGAACGACAAATTTAAACTATTTGAAATTCTATCCTACATTTTCTTTTCTTGATCTATAATAAATCGTGTATTATCATTGCACACAAATAAATTTTAGAAATACTCGTAAGAAAAAACTTTTTATTTACGAAGAAAACCATTTCTTCAAAATAAAACAAAAAGAAATAAATTGATTTTTGTAACAACTTGAATACAAACTGAAGAATAAATATATTTATGGTTTTATTGAAGTTTTTTTTTTGTGACAAGAATTGCCAAGATATAACTAATATGTTTACCTAATTTTGTGGCGACATTTTATTGCCCAAAGTAAAAATTTGGCATTTAATAACTAAATTTATCTGAATTCCACCGTCGCCCATAATGAATCATCGATAAGTGATATCCATGCGAAAACTATTAAAATATGAAGATTGTAATTGCTTGTATACACATATTATTTATATTGAGTGTTTGCACCTGTTCCCACGGGTATTAAGTTTTTCCTCCGAGAATAGTTGAATGTTAGAAGATTGATCGTGTTTACTGATGTACCGAAACCGGAGTCGATACTCAAAACTGTAGGAATTCTTTGTGCACCCTCTGAGATTTTCTCTAAATCTTACTTTTTATTTAACTAGGACGTCAACCAATATCGATTAGTTTTTTTCTTCTATGCTCTAATCACACATTTTCAAGTGCATAGCATTTAGTGATGTGTAATAAATAAACTATTGGCCTTCGATACTGTGAATTATTCATGAAACAAGAATAGGAAATAGGTTTTTTTTACAGTATCTTGACATCGAACTAATCTTCAATTTTATTCGATAAATTAAAAAAAAGTTTAGCTATATCAAAATTCGAACATTTCTTAATGTGATTAATCTATGAAGAATAAAATTAAAATAAATCTATTAATTTCAATTGAAGAGTTAAGTTATGCGAACCTGAATATGAATGAATACGTATACTATTCTGAAACATATCCGCTGATATATCTATCGATCTGATGCACGTGCAGTAAGAAAATAAATTCAAAACAAATAAAAAGAACAGCATTTCTTGTTTCATCAATTCTATTCACTGTGCAGAGACCAGTAACGACAATGTGAATGTTTATACGCCTGAGAACTATACATTTTAAAATGTAAAAAGACTTTTTTTTGCGACAAAAAGGCACTTTGATGATATTTAAAGTTTTCAAGCCTAGCTTAATTCAAAAATAAAATCTCTTTTTCTATAAGTTAACATGTGCACTTCTCATGTATAAAAACGTTGAGTTTTAGTTACTTATTTGGCTTGATACATGATAATACATATGAAAGATTATACAATGGTAAGAAGATTTCAAAATATTTGTTTGATTCCTATACAGACTATAAATCTAGTAATCACTTCATTGATTATATAGCAGAGATTGAAACATTGTAAGAAAACGTGGATTTAAATTCGATTTGATTATTATTGCTAGAAATTTCTGTTTCTCTATTCGCTTGATTCAGTTAGATTTTCTTATCTTCGAATGTACCTATGAAAATTAAGCCAAACATTGTACTTAATGGATATGAGCACGATTCGTTTTAAAAACATTTGTAGTATGAGTTACAATAAGTTTTCCGATCCATTTAGTTGAAATAAAAGCTTTTCATGCTTATGTAAATGCTCAGAATTAGTGTCTAAATATATCAATAATAAAGTTTATTTTCATCAATGTGATGTAGTTTGATTTCGTTATTGTTTTTCTCTATCGTTGTGCTTTCGTTTCATCTACTTGTATTCTTTCGTTCTATGGATTATTCTATTGCGTCTTTACATATATACAGGAACTGCGAAAGCGGGGGTGGGGGTGGAGGAGTGCACACACACACACACACCCCACCGGTAAAACGATTTAGCAAAGAATTGGGCAAAAATGAAGGATAGACGTATCCAACTTCCATAGAACGCGTATTCTAATTTTAAAAAATTGCTTTTTTGAGTTTATTATGCTTATGTGTGAAATAAACTAATAATCATGTTTTTTTTGTTTTTCTTGNCCCCCCCGATCTTAGACTCTTCGCGCGGCCCGTGCATATATATATATATATATATATATGTATATTTTCATATACAAGTAGTCAATTACTACTTTCCCGTTACTCGTTTCGTTCGTTTCTTTCTTTATCTTGTTATAGTAGTGTCGGTTCTGTTGGTCAAATAAAATACCGATAGTACCCTTGAATTCACAAGCATCTATTCGTAATACACGACAATCAATGAATTAGCCCGCAAAATGTTGACAAAAAAAGAATCCTCTAACTTGTGAGAGGTAGATTGGGTCAAGTGCAATAGAGTAATCTGTTGTATAATCCATTGCCCAACGGATAAACGATGCGATCATTTGTAATTATACATCAGAAAATCGAGGGAAATTCTCCCAAAAGTGTCAATATAACAAAAGAAACATAACTTCCTAATTTTATATAATTCTCGAAAGATATTATCAGTTAGGATCTGTCGAGCAGCATAATGCTCGTGTTTTATTCGTCTACATGTTTCTTTAAATTCGTTCAACTTGATATTTTTATTAGAAAATGCTCAGCACTTATTAGATAGATTTCTCAGCTTGAATTTTTACCGCACTAACACGAATCAGTATGATTGAAGCCCGAATACTACTTTGATACATCCGCCACTTCAAATTGTAAACCTGTGCATGCCAGTAAATGTCAATAATTTGAAATAATCATATGTACCCAGGTCGAACATTACGATGACCTGATACGACCGTAAATCGCCGTAATTTGACGTTATGGCATGCACCGTATTTCGCCGTGTCGTAAACGGCTACTAACGGCCGCAATGTAATCGGATATTTCAGTCTCCAACCGTATACGATCGTTTATGGTACGATGCAAAACGACCGTAAATTATGGCCAAACGGCCATGCACGACACAAGTTGATCGACCTGGATAGTTTCTAGCTTAATACGCCAACAACAACTTTCGAAACATCAATTTTCTACTAAACGTTTTCACTAATCAATTCTTTATCGAGATTTTCCTTTACAGACTTTCTGCATTGAACTGATGTGGTATTCGATGCTCTTTTGAAATAAGGTCCTTGGAAGTTACCGACAGCACTAAGTATCATGACAAACATGCTTTTGTCCCATAGTTATACCTTAGGAAATTAGCAACTACGTAATATTCACGCCGCATTTATTCTATTGATGTTTATCTCTTTGAAAAAATGTAACTCTAAGATTTGCACTTAGTTTTTCTAGTGCCGATAAGTAGAATTATGTCATTCAGTTAAAGAATATTATAAAAGTGTTGCTACTTGTTAGCACTCAAGTTAAACGCACAAACTATTTACAACATGTGGATAAAATCACAATGCGATAGAGGTTGGCCAATCGCAGGAAGTTTTCTAATGAGAAAAGGTTTTGCTACAGTGTACAATCATTCTTTATATATCAACATGACAATTTCGTAGAAAATAGCATGTATTTTACTGAAATAAAGATAACAACTAAGCCTCCATTAAAAACCAATCCTAGAATATTTATTTTGGTTGATACAAAATAGTGACTTTATCAACAATCACTGATAACATTGTTTTCTATACGACAAATATTAAACATCAGAAAACCGGCCAATATAACTTTTTCATTCGTCAAAATATTAAAAATTTGTGATATTGATTCCATTCTTTTTTACAAAAACTTTCAAATATTTCTATGATTTCCATAGAATTATTCTATACAATAAAATTTACTTTTTACTCCCAAGATACTAAATTCACGTAAAAATAAAAGTTAGTTAGTTCCGATTATCATGATCTATTCTTATGTCAAGTAAAATCGTTTTATATTTTCAAAGCTTGCCTTATTTAACATACTGACTTAAACAACAAGAGCACACAATAGAGAAAATATAGGATTATTATTTTTTTATCCTTGACGAATAAAAGCAACAATATCAGTTATTTCGGGTTGTCGCAATCATTTTCTTGTTTTCAATGTTATTATAAAAGAAAATGAGAATGCATCATTTTTAATACATAGATCTATGTGACAAGGACGAAACAATAATTTGCCAGTCTGTAAAATGTGAACCAAGACGATATAGATTCATTTTTGGTCAATTTCATTTTTTGAAGTTTTTATTTTGATAGAAAAAAATCTAGCAGTGACACTAAGAGCGACGATCCATGACTTTTATGACCGATATGACGATTACCAGAAAATCTGATCAAATTTAATGTATGTCGTAGTTAGCAAAAGGAATAAAATCACATGAGAGACATGAAAGTTTTTGACGACTGATAGGATCATGCGAACCTCTTATTTCTTTCTGGGACGCCTTGGGAAAAGTTATTTTGAAAGAAAAAGATAATAGTACAATCGTTGACAAAGTTATGCATGAATGGCATTTTTGTTTTGTTTATAAGATTCTCACGACTTGTCTGGCCTCTTCTATTTATAGTTTTAATTGTAGTAGATATTCATGTATTTTAGACAGATTAAAAGAAACAATATTCGTTGTTTTTTTTTCAAACCTGATTTATCGAGCAATGAGATGTTCCATTGACTTTTATCATGCACTAAATTACATTTATAAATTAGATAATTGTGTTTTTGATGAAATATGAATGTTTTATAAAAACATTAACACGAGACCTTATCGTATTCAGTGGTATAGAAAACACTTTGAACTGACTCGATAGGAAGCTTTATCAATTCAATTAACATTCTTCAACTAGATTTTCTATTAGAAAAATGCTTTTTTTTACTCAGCACAATCTAATAAAAATAGAACATCACAAGAAACCGTAATAGAGAATGCATCTATTTGTAGAATCGTTTAAAAAAGTCAAAGAATTTATCGTTGAAGAAAAAAACTTCAGTGGACAACATGATGTTGCTACATTCCACTTGTTGACAGAATGAAAAAATTCATGTTTTCTTACGCAATAACATGAAATCATTTGCTATGTTGATGATTCAAGAAATTTTTGAAAATATCAAACCTTCTATACTAATTATAATTGACTTCCTCAAAATCAAATCATCGTTCTAGATTTACTACGCCATCTACATTCAATTAAACTTAAAATTAAAACTTCAAAAACTGTTTCCCATATTTATAATTTTTCACCTGAATTTTTCTGAGTTACGACATAACAAATGATTGTTCATAATTTCATCATAAACCTCATCAAATTGAAAAAATAAAGCTTTTTAACTGGAGAAGAATTTTCGACAGAGTTATTTTTAACTTTCTATTCTGTTTAAAGACTTCTGTACGACTGATCAAGTTGGATTTCGGCTATATGCATCATTTTTACAAGGGAAATCTATATTCATTCTTTCCGTCTGACGGTTTAGAATATCCCACTTTTTTGCTGCAGTCTCGTTTTTTCTTTCCTTTTCTTTCTGTTTTTCTTTCATTCGTTCTGCCGTTCTTCTCTATTCTCTTTTCATCCTACTGCTGCATTACACTTCCTCGCGTTAGTCTAACTTTATTTCATATTCAATGGCAATTCCTTATTCTTCTTAGTGAATTCAATCATTATTATTAACATCATGGCCTCAGCTCGAAATCTTTGTCAACATTCAGATATTGATGGTACTCAATGTACATCAAATGATTATATACTGTGTCCACATTGTCAATTACAATTGTGCCTTAAACATTTGAATCACCATCAAGATTTACTTCGCTCGGATTTGTACGTTTTATCTGATAATATCAATCACGTTCGTTTTAATCTTGATAACTTAATATTTGATTCAACGAATCATCGTTCACAATTATTTCAAAAATTAGATGATTGGTATCATGAAAGAATTAATGCTATAAATAAGATTTATGCTGAAAAAAAGCAACAATTACAAATTTTATGCTTACAAGCACATATAGAATTCGACACATATAAAACAAAAAAAGATAAACAATTGAAAACTAATTTAATGAAACAATTATCAAAAGTATTCAAACAAAAACAAATAAACATTGATGATTTAGATGAAATGAGAAACAAATTAAATGATGTCGAACGAGGTTTAGATGAACTTAAGCGATTACTTATTGACATTTATCCCGATCAAGCAACAACGGATATTCACATAATTAAAAGACGTTATGTCGAAGCAGCAAAGGTATGAAAATTAAACGTTTATTTTTCGAAACAATTTATGTTAAATATATATTGAGAAAAAAAATTGCCTTGAGTTTTTTCTGGAACAAACCGAAGTCTATAAATTTTGAAACGTCATGTTGCAATAAGAGATGAGAAAATTCATTGAGAAACAGAAACAAAAATGAGTGAATCATTTTGATAAAAGAACAAAGAAAATCTGCGTGTTGTGAAATAACAAAGACTATGCGCTTTGACTTTCAAATTAGCGAAAAATGTGTATAACATCTATGATAAATATCCCAACATAACTTTTTCGATTGCAAATGTCTATATATTTACAAAGCGCAGATTTTTTTGCTGTTCTGTTAGATGATTAGAAAATTTTCTTCAGTCTAAAAGTCACTGCCGCATTTCTGCGAATAAAATAATATGTTTTATTGTTCTTCCGTATTTTAAATCATTGCATAGATAAATATCTTCTTTTTTTTCTGCCACTCATTGGACTATAAAATAATCATATTTTAATATATGTATACTCGATAATTTTAGTCCACGTTTAACGATGATGACAATGGCAATATATGGGATACTGAAGATGAAGAGGAATTTGACGATAAAACAAATTCATCCGCTGATATTCTAAAGCTTGAAGAGTTGTCAAATCCTTCTCAACATTCATCTTCATCTGATATTATTTCCTTATCGACATTTTCATCAATATCTTCTCCGCCTATGATTTCGTCTTATCCATCATCAACTACAATCCTAAAGAAAGCACCACTTAAATTTATTATCAAACGTTTACAACAGCCACCAACTTCGACTAAAATCAAGTACGAATTACGTACAGTAGCTACAGCATCAGCACTAAGAACATGAGACAAAAACATGTTTTTCTATTTTTGTTTTTTATGTTATATTTAGTAAAGAAACGAAAAAGAGATTTTTAATCTTTATTGTGATTTTCATCGATGCATTCTTTAGAATATTGTTTTTTATGAATATATTAAATGATCGAGATTTATTAAAATCCACTTAATATCATTAATTACATTAAATATTGTAAATAAAACGAACAAGAAAAGAAAAGATATACAAACTGTTGTTTTTATTAAATTCAGCAAGGTTATCCTATGTAAATTTGTTTCTTTTTTTTCTTCATTTCACAGTAACTCGAACATTTTTATCATCGGTGTATCGCCCTACACTATATTATTTGATGAGAGCGAATGCAAATAGACGTCATGAATATTTAAAAAAAGATATATCATAGTATGACGTACACTTTTTTTTCTTGTTCTGTAGCCGTCCTTTGAGAAGAAAAAAACAAGCTTCGAAGGATTGTTATTCTCGTTTGATCAATCCATCCAATAAGAAATATATTATATAAATACGGAGAACAACATTCATATAATGCCTGGATGCTATTTATTACTATTGTTAACTGAGCATCAATGTATGGCAAATCTATTCTATTGAATAACATAATTAGCCATATTTCGTTTATTTCTACTAATAGAAACTCGCGAATGTCTATTAAGAAGTAAATGTAGACACATTACAAGGCTCATTGTGATAAGAACAAGTCAAATATTCAAAGCAATTTCGATGCGAAATAACAATTTTGTAAAGCGGTAGAAAGCTCGAAGTGGTACACCTAACATTCAATGTCAAGACAGCGATATTATAGATTATACTACAGTGTAAGAATATAACAATGAAGAAAATCATGTGCATGTTTGCTAATGCATAAGTCATTGTTTTATCATGAAAATTTTTTCTTGTTTTAAAGCAAATTTCTTTTTAAATCATAGTTTCTTGATTGTTACAACGGTGTGCTGGGAAGATGTCGAAAGGACAAATGTCGAAACCGACTAAAATTCTACACTAGTAAAATTATAAGAAAAAACAATGAAGTAAATGTGGTTACAATCGCCATATACTTGAGGCATCATTGTTTTTTACTCTTTCACTTTCGACATTTTTCCTTTAGATGTTTTTTCTTCACTTTTTCTGTTTTTGATAGGGATGACTAACTATTGATACAAATAAAATAGAGGAGTTGAATAAAGTAACAACAACTAATTAGTATTGGATATGCACTATTAATTATTGTGCATCTAAAGTGCATACTGATTCAAATAATCGATTGATGAAAACTGTTTGCAATCATAGTCATCTTCCAGGAAAAGAAATATTTGAGGTTCGTGAAGCTCGTGAAGAAATGACTGATTTAAAAAGAATTTTTCTCACCCTTAACATTTCAGCTTAATTTCATACAAAAAACATACACTATATTATTTATAATTCTCTAAAATATTAACTGACAATGTTTCCTGTCAATATAATTTTTTCGGCATTTTTCCTTTCGATATTTTTCCTTTCGACATTATGACGGACAACCGTTACAACTGTTTAAAGATTTCATTATTTTAAAGGACTCATGTCGCTTCGAGTCTCATTAGTAAAGATTTATAATGTTTGATTACTAGTTGTTCAATTCAACAAACATTTGAGAATTAATATGACAGAAAAATGCCAAGAAAAAAATAAGTCCGGAAGTAAAACATCGAGCGCGAGAATAAGTTAAACTATTCATAAAAGGTTAGTTTAAACACTTGAATTTTGAGTGTTGCATACAGAAGTAACTAGAAAACTATCAGAGTTATCCTTGAAGCCACATCGTCTCGTAGAGTACAACAATTGCACGTTGACTTTATTCGATTTCCTTCTCTGAAATCTTTGGTTCATTTTGAAAATTGGCATGCGACGAAAATAAATCATAGATGAAGTTACGAAACTACGACATTTTTGAATATTGTTTCTTTTCTTTTTATACGCTTTCGATGGCATTTCATATAAATCATAAAGAAGAATAGTGAATTGGAATCGATATAAGAAAATTTTGTTTTCATTACTTCTCATGTAATTGATAAGTTGTAATCCTGCTTGAACAGAAAACTTGTATTGAAATCATTTAATTTGTTTTCATCGATTTTTTAGTGCAAAAAAAAGATATTTTCAAAACAATTGAGAATTATTAAATAAGATGAACTTTCATAATTGACAAAGAAATTTTTAGAGAATTTCAACATCAGTTTTTTTTGTTGTTGCCAATTTCCTCTAAATTTACATTAGAAGTTAAAAGTGAAGTATCTGCGACCCCTACATAAACATATGCGTTTCATTTTCACTTCCTCTGACTCCTACATTTTTGATGGACTCGGTAAAATGCTTAAATATGAATAAACGCTTTTTCTTTCAATTAAATCAAGAAATCGTGAATTTTCATCTGACTTTATATTAAGAGATTCACGTTGAATTGATTCCAACTAGTAATTTGAAAATGAAATCAGTCTCAAAATAATACTGACTCTTGTCATGATACCAATTAATTTATTAAAATATTATGTTTTCTTTTGTTAATTTTATTTAGTTACTTAAAATGAATCGTTTGCATGTTATTGTTTCTCTTTGTTCTTTACAAATGTATGCTATTATTCTCAGGTAGACATGCACGCACACATACATACTCCGAATTGGCTTGATCTCATCTATATGTTATTATTTTATGAATTGCTTACATTTCATTTTATTCACTTGTCTCTTTCAACTTCTTTTCCTCTTTTTTTTTACGTCTACCGAATCACGTCTTTGTCAACAGCTTTTTGTATTCATTTTTCTTCATTTTTTTTCTCTTCTTCTTTAAATTCATATATATATAAATATAAATATATATATATATATATATAAGTGTCTGTATGCATAAGGACACTAAACGAGAAAGAAAAAAAGTTTGTTGTTAAAAGTGTCGATCGTTTAACAAAGCAATAGAAAACATGACATCGTCGTCATCAACAACACATCATTTATTCGATCGTCCTGAGTTACTTGATAATCAAACTCGTTTAATTTTATCTGCTGATGCTAAACCCAAGCGACTTAATCGTAGTGCCACACGGTCAGCGGGCATACCTGGTATACTTGAACGTTCAGATTCCGTTGGTAGTGGATTGATTATTCAAGAAACTGACGATGATGATGTTGATGAAAATGTTGAAATGAATAATGAAGACTTTTATATGAATCGAAAAGGATCAATGCTGCAGAATGATTCTAATTATGATACAGACATCGAACAAGAACAAGAACCAACGAAAGATTATTCATGTCAGGGTCTGTATTTAGAACAATGCCGTCGTCATGGTGTTATACCGTCAACACATTTTTTACGTCACCTTAACAATGAGACATTAGCAATACGCTATTGCGGTTTGAAACCTATTAATATTAAAGTTATGGTGCCCTCATTGAAAGTTAACACAAGAATAACCAAGCTTGATTTAAGAGAAAATGGTTTAGGATCTCGTGGCGCTGTCTATATATCGCAATTGCTTCAAGAAAACGAATATATTGTCGAGTTAGATCTTTCAAGTAATGATATTGGTTTGCAAGGTATGAATATATATATATATATATTTTTTTTAAAACACAATATAAATAGGCTAATTAGAGCTAATTTTAATTTTCAGAGAAAAAACTATTTTTTCAATTTTTAAGAAACTTGATTGAGTAATTCAGCAGAGCTATGTTTTTATGATTTCTTGTAATTAAATAAAATGATGCTTGAAATCAGTCGAGCACATAATGTTTTTTTTCTCGACAAGAAAGAAAATTGTGATTTGAACCGAGGATAACTATTTATTATGTAGAATTGTTTTCTATCGAGCTCAATAAAAAGTTTTTAGTATGCAAATTGTGCTAAGAAAGAAACATTTTCATTATTTTTAAATTATTTTGAAGCAAATATTGATTACATTTAAGTAGAAAAAAGGTTACGTCAATAAATAAATGTTAAAAGTCAAATAAAAGTAGAAGTATTGAAACCTCTCTTAGCTCTTATTAAAAGTGTTTTCAATTTGCATACTATTAAAATTATTCTCCAGCTGCTTGTGTTTGCCTTAAACAAATAAGATGCAAGTAATTTTTACTTATTCACAAATATTATTTAGTATTAACTAGAGAAATGCTCTAAATCAAATTCAGAAGTTTAAGAATGCAAGAAACGGATTGTTGAGTGCCGGTGATAGTTGCTGGCATCAATAGCGTTCAATACAATCTTGATCGGTATAATTATTCTTAAAAGCACAATTTATTATCGGTAACTAGTAGAGAAAACATTTGAATTTTTGTATAAAATTTGTCGAAATCACCTAGTAAAATATGTTTCATTGATAGTTTATACTCTTTCTTCAATTAAATTGTGAAATTCTTTCTCATCTAGGTTGTAAAGCTCTATGCCGAGTACTTCGTTTAAATCGAACAATACGCACGTTGAATATGGAGGGCAATCGTTTCAATGATGATTGTGCACCACATTTTGCTGAAGTATTGACACAAAATGAATATCTTACTCACATAAATTTAAACAAGAATTTATTCGAAAATGAATCATCTGGTCGCCTTCTTGGACAATCGTTAGCTGAAAATCAAACTATTGAAGAATTTTATTTTGGTTGGAATCATTTACGTTCAAAAGCATGTGGTTTCTTTATAAAACCACTTGCATCAAATGCACGTTTGACTGTTCTCGATTTATCATGGAATGGATGTGGCCTATTGGCTGCTAAAGCCATATTTGAATTGTTGAGAAAGAATACGACGTTAGAAAAACTCTATTTAGATCATAATCAATTTAATACTGAATGTGCGGCATACATTGGAAAAGGCTTAGCTAAGAATGAAACATTGAAAATCTTAACATTACAAGGAAATCCACTTGAATCAAGTGGTTGCTATGCTGTGCTCCGTCCTCTCCTAAAGCAGCCGACATCACAACTCCAAGTTATTGACTTACGCGGAATTATTGTGAACAAAGATTTTGTTGATTTAGTAACTGAACTTTCACCAATATTACCACAGCTGAAAATTAAATTAGGCAGAGAAAAAGAAAATGAATTAATTGAATAAAAATTTTAAAAAAAATCATAATGAATAATTTTTATTACAAACGCTTAAGAAAGATAAGAAAAAAAACGTAGGATCGTTTGTCTCAAAAATGAATATTGAGTTTTTATTATTATTATTATCATCATCAAACTATTCTTATCAATCATTAGTTTGGATCGAGTTAGTGTTCATTTAAAATTCTTGTGTACATACTGTCATATTTTAAACGACCGTTTGATTTTTGTGAAGAACACAAACAACACTGCAGAATGCAGGAACATAAAACTTTTTTATTTGAAACGAACCGTTTACTTTAAATATTTACTTTGTGTTTAAAACATACATGAAATTGACTTCGACTGACTTCTGACGCTATGAACAAAATCACCTTTTTCCCGATTACATAATGAATTCCTTCTGTTATTTCATCCATCAAACAATCATAATTTTTAACTTTCCTCTATCGTACTATATAATGATGTGCCACACATAACAAAGCCAATATCTTCCGATCAAGACTATCAGGTCACTATGTGCCTTCCAGCATGTCAGTAATTCGTAATACGTATATGTAGTTACGCTGCTTTGTTGATAAAGAATGTTGTCATCTAAAAGTTGTTTACTTTTCTATGATCATTTCGAACAAATACTTCGATAGAATTTTTATCTGACATTATATCATCATGAGATTAAAACGTAAGACTATTTTTCAAGGTAATCAATCAAAAAATTTCGATCCTGATCTCTATTACTTATATCTTCTCAGTTGTCATCTCTGTATTCTTTCGATTTGCACGACAAACGAGTTCACAGATGATATTAACGTGTTGTTATACAGTTTGAATTTTGATTCATATTTTCAAAAGCTTGAACTCTATCCTATTGTAATATTCCATTAATCAATATGAATATTCAACAAGTGATATCTGATAAATTTACTTTAAATATTCTTGACGCAACAGTTTGTCGAGATATATTAAAAAAAGAAAATTATTCCGAGAAGCATTTGAGTTTCATTGAAACCATTTAGTTCATATCTTTTTCGTTGCATATACCTGCATCTACACTTAAAAGAGTAATTGATAATGTCATTTATTTCCTACTATTTGTTTTTCAAACTCGAAGAGACCATAGAAGAATAGTATCTAAAATTCGACATTGAACTGTAACTTATAGATTTACGAGTCATAAGAGATTTATTTATTTTCTTATCTATTGATAATGTCACTATTAAGAATATCGTTGTGAATTAAGTCGAATCGAAATTATTAAAGTCATTTACAGATACGATGACAGATTGAAATATGAATATTTTTCTATCAATAATGATCATATCCAAAAATACTAATAAATAAACAATATGATACTATCGTAGATTTTCAAAAATGGCAATGCTCTTAGGGTACACATGATACGTCGATGTTAGTTTGTGTTATTTAATATCAGATGAAAACATTAGTAGTAAAAACAAGTCATGGCAACGATGATAATTATTTCGACTAGGACTTCAATTCTTTTACGATTTTTTTCTTTAGATTTAAATTGTATTTTATTTCTCATATTTCACTGCTCTTATTTCAGTTGGTATTTTTTTTGCAAGTGCTTGTTATCTCTATCTCGAATGATAATGAGATAAGAATAATATTGAAGAAACAACGAATGTGACATGGCAAACACTGAGATTAACCATAGTAATTAATCTTTACAAGTCGGTAGAGGGGATACTTAAATTAGTCAGCTTCTGAGTAAGAGACTAGACAAATATACTTGTCTCAATACAGTAATTAACTCTGCGTTTGTCTGGCGCTGATATATTCTTCTGTCTTCATTGTATTTCACAATAAACTATGTTTACGAACGATGATTAATAATATTTATTTTTTATTTTCACTTAATAAGAGAAAACTTTGTTCCATTGAATTTTATTTCTAATATATCAACATGATGAGTAGTAGTATTATATCTTATCGCAAATGTGTAGGAACAACGAATGGCGATGGTCGATGGTATGATAAAATTTTGTTGATTTTCGCTCGAAAGTCAGATACTGAAAAAATAGAAACAGACGAAAAAAGAAGTTTGCATATGTTTCAACATCAGCGTCTGTATAATTTGATAAATCGGATAGATGTAGAAGAGTCATGATTATATTTGGAAATGAAAGTATCAAGCAAAGAAATGATATCAAGAGTAATTGAATTGCCATTTTTCGATGTCGTCGCCATTGAACTCGTTGATGTGTACGATATTTTTGACCAAGTACGCGCATAAGTAAAGCTACACTAACTATGATAATAATCAAATTAGGTAACATTCGATGAACTACAGGTTCCCATATAAAAAAATGCTTTGATATTATGTAAACAATCGACGAAACATTGATCAACAGAACTTCTACGAAAAAGGCAATAATATAAAATATACAGCAGTAAAGTATAAGTAATAGCAGAGGAAAATAATGTAAAAAAAACGCGTTTCTTTCTTGTTGCTACCCATCGATCATGAAAAATAAGCATATGTCTTTCTATTGAAGCCCAAGCGAAAGATTTCTAGCAAGAAAATATTCATTTTTTTCTTCTTTCATGCAAAAGATAATTGAAAGTGATAAAAACATTAGATGTTATTGTGTTCAATTTTATGATCAGATAATCCTACTAACAAACATGATTAACAAAAAATAATGGTAGAAAGGCAAATTCGTTACAAAATATATATCAAAAGTCTCTTCTTAGGAATCTTTCGATGTACTGAATACATTTCACCTTCGAATTCCCAGGCGGACAAGTTCAAGTCTGTCTACGGCATTTCTGTTCATCAATCAATCCGAACGGTGAGACTGGGATTAAAATTCAAAACGATGAAATCTCTTTTTATAGTTAGCTAGTGATATATTTGAAGAATGCTCTATTGTATTGCCATTTAAAAACTAAAATTGATTTAATTTAAAGTACAAATTTCAGATATATATATATAAAGAAAATTTTAGCGAGTGAATTTCATAACACTCGTTAATTACATACGAATAGGAAATGTTTGTACTCACTGCGATCAATATTCAAATCATTTCAGTTATATGTTTTATTATTAACCGATTGTACAAAATTATGAAGTAATCCCAATTCGAAAAATGTGTATGAACTGTAACTTGAAATAAAAAACGTGAAGTAGACATGGATAATAACAGTACTGAAAATGTTTTATGAATTTAAGATGTTAAGTAGTATCAATAATATGAACTAATTGAATTGCAAATGAATTCGAAGCTCAATCGAAACTTGTCATGGTTGAGAATAGTGTGATTGAAAGTATAGTAACTAGATTTAATTCGAAACGATAAAATTTGAGAGCGCACATATTCGCGAAGAAACTCCTGATAGAGCGATTTATTCCTTGGCTCAAAATACATTGTTTTTATGAATTATTTTCATGCGATAAATAAATGCGTGAAATATTGTATATATTAAAAACAAGAAGAAAAACAGTTAATTAACCTGAGAAAAACATCTCTGTTACAAAATGAAAGGAATTGCTTAAAATATCTGAATAAAAGTCAATAATCATTATTATCGTAGTCATTTGCTAGTAGTAGTTGTACGTTTTGAAGATGTTGTTTTTCGACTCCCACTTTGGTTTCTTCTATTTCCACTATTGGATCCTGACATCGTTTGAGAACTGGATGGTGATGGTAAAAATAATGATCGTAAACTTGGATCAGCAATGCCAACACGATATGGATTATGTAAGGATTGCGATTGAGAATTTCCAGCGGTGATTTGAATTTCAGACGAAGTCCAAGGAAGTGTTCGCATTGAAATTCTCGATTTTCTCGGTAACTCATCATCACTTAAGGCAATTACTTCATCATCACTGTCGTCAATTATCAGACTATCATCTTCTTGATTACTAATTGGTTGAGATGACGATAGTGCAATTGAACTCTATAAAGAATAAAATTGAAAATAAAATATTATATCAGTGTAACGTATTTCTCAAGGATAGTTTGGACTGTCAGTTTTTATTTCACTCCGAACTGCTCTATTTTCTGTATTTCATTTACTTATCAGACTCAGCAATACATTATAATTGTTTTTGTCACCAGTGCAAGAATTAAGACTAGCTTAAAAAGTCGATAAAATTAAATTTTTCTAAGGGTCGGGTAAAGACGTCGAAAGGCTTATTACGTAACGATATGATAGAAGGTTTAGTACTTCAAAAATCAATTACTCAAGAATGGATCACTAGTCTTTTTGCAAGGAAAGTAATTATTGTATATCTAAAGTGTGCTGTGATTGTATTAGCCATTATGTTCGAACGGTACATACCGTTGTTATTTGACTTTGTGCATCGGTTGTTTCATCATCATCATCAAGATTGACCACTATGGTTTGTTCTTTATCATTATTATTGTTTTGATCTTTTGCTTCTTGTAAACCATCTTGTGTTGTTTCATCAAAATCAAGTTCGATGACGTCGATTGGTTCATCTGCGGAGAGTGCAAAACGAACTGTTCGTTTTGCTGGTGATTCAACGGTTGGAGCTGGTGCTGTTTCTTTTCTAGCTTTTTGTTTTGCACGACGTTCCCATGCAACATCGAATTCTTCATCTGATGAATCATTATCACAAGTTGCAGGTGGTTTCAATTTTTCTGTAGTCGACGTTGTTGCTATTGGTTGATTTATTATTGAAGTTGATCTAAAATTTGATGTTTTTATTTTTCAACAAAAAATAGCAAAGATTTTACGTTGCAGATAGTTGTTCATCATTTGATTGTTCATTATTAGTTGATGCTAGACTAACTTGTGATATTGTTCGTTTTGGTCCAAATGGTTTCCATCCAAGATCACTTTCATCTTCTTCAACATAATCCATACCTAATTGTGTTTCAGTATGTTCAATGTTTGTAAATGATCTTGAACGTCGAAATGCATCAACTTGTGATCGTCGTTTCGTACCAGACATACTTGACGTATTCAATACTGGTAAAGCTATTGGTTGTGATGCTTTACGTTTTATAGCATCCGTTGAATGAAATTGTTTTCGTATTGTTTGATTTTGTCCTGGATGAATTCTTTCACGTGGTTTCACACGAATTCGCGGCCGTGTGTCATCAAAAATATGTTGTTCAAGTGACGAATATGTTGGTGAACGACGCAGTGCTTCAAGAATTTCATCCTGAAGATTTTCTCTATTATTCGTTGTCGATTGGCTATTTCCTAAGGCATCGCATATGTCATGTATACGACCAAGTTCACGATCAAATTTTCGTTTATATTCGTCTAGATCACCATGCATTTGATCAATTATTTGACGAATAATATTAGTAGCATTATTCGGTTGTAAAACTTTACATGATTGTTTCATCACATTAGTTTTTAAATCACGTGTATATTTAAGTAGTTGAGCAAGTTTAGCACGTAAGATTTTTTGTTCATTTGTATAACCACGAAAACATCCAGGACTGCGATTGGATGTTGTTGACATAGTGATTAATTTGAACTTGAAACGAAGAAATTCAACAAGCTTGTTTTTGATGTTTCAATCAGATGAGTAAATAAATGATTGAATGAATTCAGGTGATTGAACCAATGAACAGTGAACTGTCATATTGTTATGTATATGAAAAGAATTATTTATTCAGTGATAGGAAAAAGGTTTTGCAATAAAATATTTAAAGAAGTTTAAATGTCAAGGGTTTATAAGAGACTACTTTGTACGAACAACAACGACATCTATCGAAGTTTGCCATCAAGTTCAGATAGTTAAGTCCACGTACAAAATAAACGATATGAAATTGAAATATTTTGCAAAAGTATTTCACGACAGACAATAGCATATTAAAAATAAAGTTAGTTAAAGAAAATCACTTTTGTCTCCGGTCCACAATTGTGCTGTTCATGTTGCAAATAATTGATGTGGCGGATATTCGGTACTATCGGATACTTTTTATATCGCAAATAAACAAGAGCTTGCTTTATCAAATAGCATTGTATAAATCCATATCAAATTTTGTAAAACTAATATCCAATATTAGTACTTTGATTAATATGATAGATAATATGACTTGTCATTGGCTTAATTTAAAATACAACTTGCCGACAATGCTTCAAAATTCAAGTCAAATTTTGAAGTTTGACTATGTAAAAATGCTTTTTAACTCGTAGCAACTATCGTTCATATCATGAATAAAGATTTATCCGTTTTGAATTTTCATGGAATTCACTAGTAAAGAGAAATCGTTTTTTTATAGAACTTTGTACAGGAAATCTTCATAGATGAGAATGAGTTCTACAAATAACGCATGTTAAAAGTATTTCTAAGGTAACTGTTTACTTCTGTATAGGTCGATCGTACGTATATTCAAGGAATTAAGATATAACATGTCAATAGTTACCTCATTCTGGCATAAGCAAATTTTAGCTTTCAATATACCATCCTTCAATTTGCTTTTGTCGACTTATTCAAGCGGAAATTAATTGAATAAAAAAAAATCCCCTTGAATGTATAATAATTCTATACATGTATGCATTATGGAGCTAAAACAAACACTAATTTGAAAAGAATGCTTCGCTTTCTGTAGTATCTAATGCGAAGAAAGTGTGACGTATAGTATTTTCGCAGATTATGTTTATATGTTGGCTTTTTTTTTATCAGCTTCCTAAAATAAATACTATTGACCAGCGATCTTTTCTTCGTTATTCTTTTTTGACACAACATTATTCTATCTCTCGATTTTTCTTTCAAACTTTAATCACAAGCTATTGAGATCGAGTCTTCTGATGAAAATGACTATGTATTTTATTGGTAAGATTTGAAAAACATATAATTTGATGAATCTAGAATTTTGCTTCACACATACAATCATACAACACGAACAAATTAGTCTTTTAAAATATACGGATTAGGGAAACGAAATTTGTCCTGGTGTGATGGTAATTATTGACTGTTCGCAACATCATTAATTGTTTGATTCGCTTTCTAACTTCAGGTAATGAAGAAAGGCAAACAAAAGGCATCAAAAGTGAAACAAAGTGATATAGATAATAGACATAAAATTCGAATTGTCCAGCTGAGCCATTCGGTAAACCACAAAGATGAGCTAAACGAGGGCATGTCATAGGTAAATTAAAAATAAGAAACATTCCTGTTATTGATAACATTTGTATGATCATTTTTCGATATTTACGCCATTCAACATGTCAATGAAGTGTTTGTCCTTGTTTAATGACCCGAATGACTAATCCAATACTGCATATTGTAATGATTGGTGTTGGTAGTATTGAGTTCGAGACTGTATCGTACAGACCTAGTAGGTCATTTTGATAAAAACATGGATAAAGACACCAATCCCACTCATATGCATACATATTGTCACATGAAAATATTGTAATATAGAAAATGAAACCATAGAGCACAATTCCAAAAAGAGGAAAATAATGCATCAATAAACATTTCTTCCTATTTAATGACCATCGATCATGAAATACTAAAATGTGTCGTTCTACTGATGCCCATGCCATAAGAATATTTTTGTTAAATTCGAAATACCCGTTGCTGAAAACCACCATAAAATACAAGTGACAGGTATTGGAGGTCAAACATAGTTGATTCTCAAATAATTAAGATAGAATGAAATATCCATCAATTGAGAAAAAAGCCCGATAATAATAAGAGCCATAATAACATGATTGTTTAATGAACGTCGTAGATTACGTTCAGTAAATAGATGCAAAAGCAGTATTAATGAACAAGTCAAAGCTGGAACTTCAAAAATGATGAGAAATCAGAAGGGAACTGGTACCGGTAAAGAAAATATTGGATAATCCTCCATCTCCGTCGAATGATTATTATTGTTATTTTCGTCTATTGAAATATTTACTTGTGAATAATTTTTATACATTATCAACTTTTGATGCTATTATGTTCATTGATATACGGTTGAATGTAATGCATGTAATGAAATAGGTGGAATCATGTATAAAATAAACCGAAGAATTTTTCTCTTTTACTTTGCTATGCATGAAATAAAATTAATTTCTCTCTTTGTCAGCATTCATGCTATTTAGGCGTGGTCACGCGAAGATAAAATCTGAGACATGCCAGTTAAGTTATTGTCAAAAAAATATAACTTCTGACTATCGTTTATTGTAACGAGCTCAAGAGTTCCCAAATGCGATCCATTGAAATGGGGCTTAGTTTAGAAACTTACGAATTTGCCAGTATTCTTCATTGAATCCTAATTAATTGTAGAAACTTATCTGGTATATGCCTATCTATTATTTTGAATTCTATCCAGTTGCATGATCTTTCAGGAAGAAAAAATTCTTTAATATTTGTGTAATTCATTCGTGTTACTTGAAGATGAGAAATGAAAATGAAAATGAGAATCTAATTGTAACATAATAGTTTTATATCTAAACTCAGATTGATCACGCATTTCCGTAAATGTCCGTAGAATACTCACTTGTGGCGAAAAAAGGCAACTGTTTAAGGCTGCTATTTAGTACAATCGTAAACTGTTGTTAAAGTTAGCAATCTGCTCTGTTTAAACATAAACCACACACTTTCATGTACACTTTAGGATTCCATGTGCAAAAATTTACGAATAAAACACAAGACAGACACTATTTATTCCTTGTTCAGTATCTGCAGAGTGCGATGCACGTTGGCAAGAATCTCTTTCTTTTCAAATTTCTCGATAACATCTATCGTCAGATACCTAAGTTTCATAAAATTTTCCTGAGAAAAACGAACACCCAAAAGTCCATATCGAAAGTCTGAACTATTTCTGACATTTGAGTCAGTTACAATATCAAGAAAAACAAGACTCATTTATAGGTGGATAAAAGAATATTTTTGACAATTTTTAGTACAATCTCCCATGACTGACAACTATTTTATATCTTCCATTCATGCGAAGCGTAACGAAACAATTGCGCATAAAACAGTGTTCTCGCTATAACTGTAAAAATAAGTTAGCAACAGTTCAAATGATTGAAATCTATTGGATTACAATGGAAAAAGGTATTATCACGCTTTTTTGTTTGCTATATCTTGGCTAAAGATGGAGTTTACTGACGAAAAAACGATTTTCTTCTGAGAATGATTGCTGAGGCATTTATTGATGCACTCTATTAGAATCGGTGGCTGTTCCGTTGATAACTGACTGTAGTTATCAAGTGAGCGGCATTGGTTTCTATGGGCGTAGGAATTCTAGTAGCACTCACTCCTCAATGCTTGCATAATGCATACCCCACACCCACATCCACGAATATTTTATGTTGAGATGCAACATTTAACAAAATGAAGAATATGAAGCTTATCGTGAAAAACTTTCTTGGAAAAACTTTAGTTAGGGTGGGGATTCTTCAAATGTNGGATAAAAGAATATTTTTTGACAATTTTTAGTACAATCTCCCATGACTGACAACTATTTTATATCTTCCATTCATGCGAAGCGTAACGAAACAAGTGCGCATAAAACCGTGTTCTCGCTATAACTGTAAAAATAAGTTAGCAACAGTTCAAATGATTGAAATCTATTGGATTACAATGGAAAAAGGTATTATCACGCTTTTGTGTTTGCTATATCTTGGCTAAAGATGGAGTTTACTGACGAAAAAACGATTTTCTTCTGAGAATGATTGCTGAGGCATTTATTGATGCACTCTATTAGAATCGGTGGCTGTTCCGTTGATAACTGACTGTAGTTATCAAGTGAGCGGCATTGGTTTCCGTGGGCGTAGGAATTCTAGTAGCACTCACTCCTCAATGCTTGCATCATGCATACCCCACACCTACATCCACGAATCTTTTATGTTGAGATGCAACATTTAACAAAATGAAGAATATGAAGCTTATCGTGAAAAACTTTCTTGGAAAAACTTTAGTTAGGGTTGGGGATTCTTCAAATGTACGGCAAGTTTTACATGATTGGGTTAAGCAGACATCAGTGACACTTTTTATTTTTTATTACACAGATGCATTTGAGAAGTTGATTGTGATACTGCGTTGTTGATGTTTGCTCCACATTGAGTGCATCTTTTGCTGATGTTTCCATATAGGGCACACCGAATCTACCAGCGAGATGTATCGCCTGTTCATATGTTACGTTTAGTTGGCTAGCCAAGTCGGATTTATTACCGATCAGAATCATGGATATATCATTTGATACTTCTTGGCGTGTTGCATGGATCCAATTTGCGATGCTATTAAACGAGTTTAGTTCTGCTAAATCAAACACGATCAAGGCACTATACGTGTTTGTTCATAACACAGTGGAATACTTGTACTCAGGCGATATTCTCTACGGCGGCCCTGATAGTTGTTGTAAAACATCTTTATTAATACTTGCTGTTAATATAAAGAACTCACCCAAAAATTGAACCTTCAACTTTTTACCATCTGTCGTAAAAGAAACGTGGGAAAAGAGAACTCTAAAAAAGAACTGAGTTTGGTTTTGATATTAAAAAGAACATTATACGAATTGTTTACCTTACCAACACCCATATCTCCTATGAGAACCACTTTGAACGTGAAGTAATATTCGATGTTTGCGGATAAACTTTCCTCCATAGTATGTGTTAGATTGTGAGAGGTCGGCAGTTAGCATAAATTTAATATGTAAAACACGATGCAACACTATTGTTGGTTAATCTGAATTGAACAAAAACCTATAGTGCCAACTCTAAAAAACTATGAAGACTAAGAAAAACATGCAGGTATTTCTATATTCGACGGATTGTTTTGTATAGCGTGTGTGGGTATAGAGAAGCAAAACTTAAACTCACACCAACAGGTGGTGTATATATAAGAAGGAAATCTCTATAAGTAGAAAATGCTTTACAATATTTTCTTGAATTTTCACATGAACTAGTGTGAATGGTGCCATCCAAATTGATTCCATTGATTAGCTGAACTTCTTATGAAGACTACTGCCTGATGATATATTATTGTTATATCAATACAAGTGTAAAAATGCAAACAGGTTTCCAATATAAAATCAGGTCAAATAAATAATTGAATAGGTGTAGGCAGGATAGAAAAAATGTCGAACTATGATCACGATGATTTTGCACTAATAACAAATGAATTCTAACAAACAAAATATCATTTTGTTGTTTACAAGTATTGAATCATACCATGCAGTAGGGATGGGCCATTAACATTAATTTAATATTAATATTAATGTTTCTCATTAACCATTAAGATTAATGGTTAATGTTTTCATTAAAATTAATGACTTAATATTATTGGTTAACGTTTTCATGAAAGCATTATAACTTTCCATATTAAATAATTAACACTTTCGGAGAAAACATTAGCTATTAAGATCAGTTAATTGATTTATAATTGTAGATAATATTTCCTTAGAAAAACCTAATTCAGTAATATGGAAAATTTAATGTTTTCATGAAAACATTAACATTAATATTAATGATTAATGAAAATATAATCCCTAATATTAACGAGAACATTACCATTCATACTAATATGGTGAATGTTTCCGTTAACCGTTAATATCATTCAAGAACATTGACATTAATATTAACGATTAATGAAAACATTAATTTTTTGAAATTAATGTTAATGTTTTTCATTAATAATTAATATTAATGAATTAAGTTTTTCTTAGAAAACATTAACCATTAAGATTAATGGCTAATGGAAGTCATTAATTAAGTTCCATTAAAAAAAAATGGTCCACTCCTGGCATGCAGTAGTTGCAATGGTATTGCAAACGAATATTCAACATAAAATGTTTACATCACACTAGAAAAACTGCATTACTTCACGTACTGATTCATAGATTTAGGTCATGGCAAACTTCATCAAATCATTCGTTTGTATTTTATATTGCCACAAATTTAGAGAAAAAAAACATTTTTTTTCTTTTCCCGACACATTCGAAGCGACTAAAAAGAAAAAGGAATTATTTCTGCTGAATGATCTTCGAACATTGCTTGAAATGCTAATTTGTTTCTCCTTTTATTGAATGGATCATTTTTTGAAATCACAAACAAACATAAAAGGAATGAAAATAAAGTAAGGGTGGGGTGGTGTATGGCGTGCGCGTGCGAGTGTGAGTACTGGAAAATAGAAGACCTCCCATTTTCACCCACACATCCGTGGAGTTCTTCAGAGTTCATGTGCTATTCGAAAGGCTCCGGAAGACTCTCATAACTATTTGAAATGAATACTTTTGTTTTTCAATTCCGAAAGTAATGAAATAGACCATAGTGTGATACGTCCATAAACATGATCTATTTCCAAAATATGTATATAGTGACTGCTCAGTATTTTTAAAATCTTTGCAGCCATTCATAACGGTGAGGGTGTAGGTGTGGATTTATTTGAAAATTAGACCGAGATCGACACCCACACTCACACCCACACCCTTTATCTCAATCAGCATTTGATCATATTCAGAAAAAATCCCTTTGGCAACTCTGATCTTTCTATTGTATAAGAATCAATTATGTATCGATAGGTATGGATTCATAAATAAATTTTAGAGATAATTAAATGAATACAGAATTCATATAAGTAGACCCCAAAACCGAGCATCATTTGTTTGGAGTTGAAATGAAGAATAATATTTATTATTACAAATTATAATAACTTAAAAAGAAAACAATGCATGCTAGGTTTTATATAAAATAACTAAGTCAGTCACAGAGTAAGAATTAAGATTAAAAGTTATTTAAAAAATTCAATTAGTCGTGATAAAAACATAAATTCTAGAAGCAGCAGCTTATCTAGTTCTTTCGATTATACCACAGATCGCAGATGAATCGTTAGTTCGGATAGCTTGATTCTTGGAAACGAGGCCTTTCTTCATCCAACAAGTACCACTATAGTGTTTTGTCCATGTAAAATGAGTGCACTCAAAAGTTTCTTCACATTTTTTTAGACAAAGATCTTTTGGAATCTGAACACTCGAAAGATCATTTCCATGGAAACCACAAGACTTGGCAGTGTTATTTTTAGTCCAAATAATTTTTTTTTCCGTTGAACCTGCAGATATAGAGTTCACAGCTAGTAAATCAATAACCATATGAAATTTAAGATAAGATTCTCCTTCAATGTGACACTAATTCATCTTTTCAGCGCTATTGTCACTTATTATGAAAAGATGCAGCGCACGGATTATATGAAAAACATTAATGGACATATTTTATCTTCAAACATTTTTTTCCTCTGAGAACAATAGGCATCTGATGAGTAAAACTCTAGCAGATGCTAGTATATCTTGGGGAATTAGGCAAAAGCTTTAATCATAATATTACACTTACACGGTATTCATAAACTAAGATCAAGCCTGTGAAAACATTGGAAAGATCTCACGATCCTTTAATTGTTCCATACAAAAAAAGTAAGCAGCTGAAACAAAAATTCGATATCACTCAGAACTTTGCTTTTTTTTACTTACACTCACTATTTTCAGCGAAAATATATGTGAATTAAACAAAAACTTCTATTTGATAGCGTTCGCCCATAAAGATTTTTTCTCTTTGTAAATTACGCTTAGAATCAATGAATGATCATGAAAAAAACTGAAATAGTGATTTTCCATAATGATATAAGGAAGTTTTCATTAAAATCACATCGAAAACGTTTCTCAGCCAAGAAAAAAAATCAACTATCAATTTTACGGGAGAGTTTCCGAATCCGAAACTACGAATCTAAATATTCATCTAAAGTAGAATGTTTTGCGCTAGCTACTTTATTGATCGGAAAGTTTGCCACTAAATTGAGAGAATACTGCCTAGAGAATACTGTCTAGAGAATACTGCCTAGAGAAAGCACTCTTCTTGGGTTATTATTTGATACATCATTTTAGTGGTTATTAACTTACTAGACTTATCTGGCACGACAGATCGAAAATATCGAACGGTTATCATTTACCCCAAATTGTGGTTCCCAGAATCAACCCCAAAATCATATCCCCATTTCGGGATCTAAAATAAATTTTGGTCACCAAATGGGGATTTGACGGCATAATCGTCACTAATGTTATCTTAGTGCCTGTTTGTTTCTTTTCCCCTTGTTTGTTTTTGCGCCTAATATTGTTATTCATTATTCTTATTATTCTCTTTTTTCTTCAAGCTTCTTCATATATCTCTCTTCACTGAGATATACCTATACTCATTCTTTCAATTCCTTTCGCTCATCATTCGAGCGTATGTTCTCTGACTACTATTTTTCTTCTCTATCAAAAAGAATCATAGTTTTTGATTAATTACATATTACCTTTCTTTCAACTTGATTGTTCCTTACAATTAATCCAATTCGATTGTCCCTTATAATCGTTCGAACTCGTGTCAGCTACTTGCTTGTAGAGTTCTTCTTATGCACAACTATTTCTGTTCATTGAATAAACAATTGGATCTTCATCCAATATTCAATACTATTTAATTTCCATAGCTGCCATTGTGCCATAACCAATACTGTGGCACCTGGCATTTTTATTAGTTGCGTCTCTGATCCTCATCAAGGCGTTACAGGGGATTTAAATTTGGGGATTTTTTTAACATAAGATATACAATATTGAATTTGATTCAAAAGTATCCTACTTCTCGTACTATGGTAGGTTATCATTTACCCCAAATTGGTTACCAGTATTCAATTCCCAAATAAAATCCCCGTTTAGGGAGTTTTTTGGCATGAAATGCATCATGAATTTTGGTGTTTGGTTTGAATTAATTAAGCACAGTAAAAACAGTTTCACGATAAATCTAGTGATCGAAATATATCTTACGTGCCTACGGTGAACAGTTCTGAGGTACATCTGGTGACCAGAATATATTTTTGTATTAGCAAAAATGACTTCGTAGTAACTCAAGATATATTTCGATCACCAGATTCATCGCAAAACTGTTTTTACTTTATTTAATTAATTAAAACTAATCACCAAAATTTATGATACATTTCATGTCAAAAAAATCCCCAAATTAAAAAATTCCTAAACGAGGATTTTCTTTGGGAATTGAATACTGGTGACCAATTTGGGGTAAATTATAGCCTCCCATAGTACGAGAAGTACGATACTTTTGAATCACATTCAATATTGTATATCCCCAAATCAAAATCCCGATTTGGTGCCCAAGATTTATTTTAGATCTCAAAATGGAGATATGATTTGGGGGTTGATTTTGGGAACCACAATTTGGGGTAAATGATAACCTACCAAAATATTTAAACCAGATATAAACAGTTAACGCAAGACTTGTCAGGATTAAAATAGCAGTAATGAGTAGAATCCATGCACAAGTGTTAGATGGTCGTTTGAGTATTTGATTAATCCACTGATATTTATAATTGTACACTGTCGTTTCGTTGTGACAAGGTAATGTTGAGCGCACTTCTTCGTTTTCAAGGTTTAGGTTTGTGCATGTAGGCGAAAGAGTTTCAGTCGGTAGTATGCGGAATGTCACAGGAGTAATTTCTGAAAAAAAATTTCTAATCTTAGATAAAAGAAATTCTCTTGTTTCTACCTACCAGTCGTGCGCATATTATCATCAACACTGTCTTGTAGAAGAATATCTTGTAATGAGAATTTTTGGCGACTGTTTTGTCCATGTGCTTGTTTGTATTCTGAAAACAGGAAAAAAGATACGTTTGAATACGAATTATAGTATAAGAAGAAACAATAAACCTTGAAGTCGTTTAGCAGCATCGTTACATTGAATTTTTGAGAATGCATCAATCAGGTAGTCGCAGTCTTGATCATTGATTATAGATCTATCAAAAAGAGTTTCAAGTACGCGAAGTGTTCCAGTAAGAGATGGATCATCGCGTAAATATTTGGGAATGTCATCACCAAGTAGAAAATGCAAGCGATGTCGATCAGTGTCGGATAGAAGTTCCTGTGTTTTGAGTAGCGATGCTCGAAAATCAAATTGCCCACTCATGTGACAAACATGAATGACTATAACTGAAATGTAATAGAATATCAGTTAATATTGTTGTTTCTAGTCTTGTAACAAGAATCCACACAAAAGATGCACAATATATATGAAGACAAAGATAAAGGACTTCAGAATTAACTACAATCCGTGTAACCACGAAGCACATTTTAGAAGAGTTTACTTTAATTGGAATGTGACAGTACGCAAGAAATAAAGCATTAGCACTATATTTTGTGAAACACGATCTGAAAGAAGTGTTGAAGTATATAGGATAGAAATTTGTACCCCCCCCCCCACCAGACCGTGACGGGGAAATTT